ATGTATGCAGGATGAGCGTGTACACGTGTGACTGCGGAGGCAAACTCTGTATATACACAGCCTGTGCATGTGCGTGGACGACTCTCTCTCCACATCAGTGGTGTTTCTGAGTAAACCCCTATGGGGCAGTGAGGCGTTCAGGTCCACAGATGCCCCAAAGCCTGGCACGACACACACGTCTAAAAATACCACTAAACCCTACACACTCTCCTCTAGCCCTGACTTACCCCACACTGTTATTTCTTGGATTGGGCGCTCAGTGTAATCAGTTTCTGGTGCTAAATGAACTTCTGCTCACTTCGTTTGAGCCCATTCTCCTCCTACTGGATCAGTTACTGCTATAGTTTTTACTGTGGAGCCTAAGGACTCTGTGGCATTAGAACTGAACAGTATATAGTCTTTAACACTAGCAGTGGTAATCTAATGCTGCTCATATAGGGATGTCATGGTGTGTTTTTAATGGTACAGCTATACACACTGATCAGGCATAACAGTATGACCACCTCCTCGTTTCTACGCTCATTGTCCATTTTATCAGCTCCACTTACTATATAGGTGCACTTTGTAGTTCTACAGTTACAGACTGTAGTCCATCTGTTTCTCTGCATACTTTGTTAGCCCCCTTTTACCCTGTTCTTCAGTGGTCAGGACCCCCATGGACCCTCCCAGAGCAGGTACTATTTGGGTGGTGGATCATTCTCAGCACTGCAGTAACACTGACGTGGTGGTGGTGTGTTAGTGTGTGTTGCGCTGGTCTGAGTGGATCAGACACAGCAGTGCTGCTGGAGTTTTTAAACACCTCATTGTCGCTGCTGGACTGAGAATAGTCCACCAACCAAAAATATCCAGCCAACAGCGTCCTGTGGGCAGCGTCCTGTGACCACTGAAGAAGGACTAGAGGATGACCAACACAAACTGCGCAGCAGCAGATGAGCTATCGTCTCTGACTTTACATCTACAAGGTGGACTGACAAGGTGGGAGTGTCTAATAGAGTGGACAGTGAGTGGACACAGTGTTTAAAAACTCCAGCAGCACTGCTGTGTCTGATCCACTCATACCAGCACAACACACACTAACACACCACCACCACGTCGGTGTCACTGTGGGGGTCCTCTGAGGGTCCTGACCATAGAAAAAACAAGGTGAAATAGGGCTAACAGAATATGCTCTCTCTCTCTTGCTCTCCCCCTCTCTCTCTCTCTCGCTCGCCCTATCTCGCCCTGAGCCAGTTCTGCTGCTCACTGAGGTGTACAGTATCTCTCTTCAAAAGTCTCTCTTTCTTTCAGTCGGGAGGTCAGACGAGGCTTTGTTTTAAGCTCTGACTGACTCTGAGACTTCCTCCTCGGTGTCTGTATTCTGGCTGGCTCTCAGTCTCAGTGTTCTGGCAGGTTCCTGTCCTGGTCATGGAGCTGGACTCGAGCAAATATAGAAATGTGAAACTGACAGGCGGCCCCGGACTCAGCGCAGGGCCCGAGAGGAGAGTAGGGTTGCAGCGCTGCACGGCCAGCACTGGAGGAAGTGGGGCTCAAGTGTCTTGCGTTATTAGTGCCGTGTGGAGAGGCATCCGAGAGGTGATTTGGAATGAGGAAGTCGCTGCACATGTAGCCTCTTCAAGTTATTTTTATTTTTAACCAGATTGCAGTTCTGTTTATCTCTTACCTTTTTATTTTGGAAGCTACAGCAGAAAAGAAAAATTCCTGACTAGCGTGTAGAAGACTGCTAAAGGCGTCGTCCGCTGCTGACATTACTGACATTACTGATATTGCAGTGTCAGCGCTGTTTTGTTTACTTAAGACTTGAGGCTTACTTAATCTTTTGGTGATAAGCAAATTCACGACATGGCTGTAACTGGAAATACCTTATCAAGAGAGCCATCAGTGGAGCTTCATGCCATTTGAAAGCTGCATTTGAACAAGACGGCTACAGTCACAGTCACAGCAACTGTGCGATTTTTTTTGCGTTAACACATTGACCCCACAAAGATGTGTGTGTGTGTGTGTTTGTCTATCTATCTGTCTATATATATATATATATATATATATATATATATATATATATATATATATATATATATATATATATATATATATATATAATGTGTGTGTGTGTGTGATATTGTATATCTTTAGTCTTACATTGGCTCACGATAATTGTTACTTGTTGCTGAAACAGTAGCTTGACTTTTTGACTTGTAACAGACACTGTAGCTGATCAATAGCTGTGTTGCTGAATCCCCTCTCCGCTAAACGGCTGAGTAAACCCGGCCCTTATTACTGCTTCTCCCTGTGGACGCAGACAGGAACAGCTGTGTCCAGTGGCCCCGGCGGAGGACTTTAAAACATCCTTTTATCAAATGTCTCTCATTACAACAACCTAGAACGAGCTTCCCTCTCCAGGGTCTAGTCACATTAGGCTATGACACGTCTCCACATGGCTTGTGTTTGTGTAACACTTGGGTGGCCAACGATTGTGTGGTCACCAAAGAAGGGTCAGTTGGCATTCGCTTTCTGTTTATTCCAGTTACTTTTGTGTTGGAATTTGAGTGTCGTGATTTATAACAAAAATAAATAGGAATAAAATAGTGAAAAAGTAACGCTTTAAAATAAGATTATTTAATTAAGTTAGAATAAAAGTCAGTTTTAATAATTTTACTAATAATTTTACTAATTACAATAATAATTCAAATAAGTAAGAATGAGAAATAGGAGGCAAGTAGAGAAGCAGAAGGTCAGTGAAATTACATGTTTAACTCAGTGTGATTGATGTAAAAGCTCAGCATTAGTGCAGCTGACCCTCTACCCTTTGGCTACTGTAACTGAAGGGTTTTTTGGTCCCCTGACTAAAATAAAATATAAAGAACAATAAAATGTAAAAAATATATAAATGTACAAAAACCGTTAAAGTTACATGGCTGTAAGTGTACTTGCTTAGTCCAGAGGCTGCTAGACCCAGTTGTATGTTTTCAATAGCTCGCCTTTAATTCAGCGAATCAATGACAATCAAACCACCTGGCCCAGCTGCACAGACTGCTGTCATGTAAATCAGACATCTGTCACAGAACGCAGCAGCAGTTCCCCTTTGCCCCCTCCTTAAACCTTAGACCAGGGGTCGGCAACACGCAGCTCTGGAGCCGCATGCGGCTCTTTCACCGCCCTGTTGCAGCTCCAAAACAAAATAATCCTCCTTTACAGTAAAATAAAGCTCTGCTGATCGTTCAACACAGTTTAACAATAAATGGTCTTAAACTCTGGAGTTAATGTAGAACTGCTGATTCACCCTTTAACCCTGAAGGTTGGCGCGCAGACTGCTGGTCACCATAGCTACGACAACAGTCTCACCTAGCTATTAGCTAACGAAACGGCAAAGAGAGAGATTTAAGCCGAACATCCATAATTTGGAGACGATCAGACTTCCTGATACATTTAATCTGCAACGAGAAACTGTCAATCACTTAAAAAGTTGCGAAGCTGAAGTCGCTTCTCATTCACCAGCTTCTCGTTCAAATTTTCTCGTTCCACCTTAAATGGTGCGACAGATAGCTACATAGTTAGCTACATTCTGGCGCCTCAGGCACCATTTAAGGTGGAACTGGAAAATTTGAACAAGAAGCTGGCGAATGAGAAGCGACTTCAGCCTCATAAAAAATCGTTGGGAGACGTTTTATAAGAAAGTGTTCTACTTTTACGTAAAAGTTTCCTGCCGGAGGTGTGAGAAAAGCGGTTATAGCTGAGCTAAAGCTTGAAGCAGAGAAAATAAGTCTGCGCTTTCGTTTATATTATACTTTTTTTTTAGCCTATACTAGTACATTAACACATACTGAGACATATTTACAGCCAAGATGGTGAAACATTACTGTAACTAAATGGACATGAAATGGTGTGGCTCCCAAAGTGGTTAGATTTTGTTGAAACCTGACAACATTTGGGTTGCGATGCCTGCACTAATGGAAAAGAAATGCTGTGACTTGTAGATTTCTATTGCTGAAATGAAGAAATTGAAGAAAATAAAGAAAGTGTTTTTAGAAATGTTTTTAGAGCAATGAAAATTAAATGATCAGGAATACATTGATTACCCTACTTATTCCCTACTTAACCCACATATTCTACTATTTTTGTGTATTTTGTTTTTCCTCTGAAGACTTTTAAATGTAGCGTTGCACTGATACCCTGTTGGTATCGGCGCTGATACTGGCACTTTGATGCAGTATTGTATCAGCAGTAAAGAATTACGATACCATGAATCAGTTTCTGTTGTACACGCTCGCTACTGAGTGAAGCATACATGCACGGCAGTAGATGGAACTACAACATGTCAGTGGGGTGGGCTGACTAGCACTAGTAAGTCTTGTGGCAAAATCTGTATCACCAGTATTTTGGCAACAGTTTAGCGAGTGTACCAGTTCGAATTCTTACAAAAGCATTGGTGCCACAAAAAAGCCACATAACGCAACATACATAGCATACAATCCTAAATACTCTAACAATAGTCCCTTTACCTCAATGATGTATTTCAGTTTATCTATATATTTGTTTATCATCCATTAAGTAAATGTTACTAATTCAATTAGTTAAAAAGTAGTTTTGGCTGAAATGTTGAAAATACTGTCAAATTTGGACCGAAGTTTTCAGCAAAGATAAAACTAAATTTCAGCCACGCCTTTCGGATGTTTGGATCCTATTGAAGTTTGCAGTCATCCGTTTGATTTCTGTTCTCATTTTCTCCAGATTTTCTACTCCAGTAACTCTGAACTGCTTTAGGCTCAAAGGGTGGCCATATGTGAACGTGTTCGTGGTTGTGACATCACTAGCATGATGAAATAAAAATGGTCTCTTATGCAGTTTTTTTTTTCCCCATATGTGAACTGTGTGGGCTGGGGAGTGAATGGTACCTTAACAAATAAAAAATGGTTACATGCTACATCGAAATGTTTCAATTTAAAAAAAGCGTTGAAAATTCATTTTTCTATCATAAAGCTCACTGTTTCGTTTTCTTCTTACAGTCCCCAGAGCTCCCGAAATCGAGGTACAGGACTGCATGGTGGTGGACAATGCAGTGACCATAGTATGGAGGATGCCGGTGGAGGATAGTAAGATTGACCACTACATCCTTGAGTACAGAAAGACCAACCATGAGGGTCTGCCCAGGGTTAAAGATGAGCGCTGCTGGGAGCTGGTGGACAACATCAAGAACACAGAGTACACACTCACAGGTAGAGCTGTACATGCATATGTACATGTACCCAAAAATTAATATGGGCATATGTGTATATAAACGTATATACACACATATAGTTAAAGGGAATTATTGGTTTATATTGCAGGGTTAAAGTTTGATTCCAGGTTTATGAACTTTCGGGTACGGGCGTGTAACAAAGCAGCTGCTGGAGAGTATTCCGATCCTGTCACTTTGGAAACCAGAGGTAAACACTGCAGTGATGTTTCTTTTAGCTGTTATGAATTCATACATTTAAGGCTATTAAGTACAACAGCAACACGCTTAGGGCTTAAATAACAAGTGCTAACTAAAGCTTTCCAGGATTTGCTCGCTTCATTTATAACTCCAGGGTTTTCCAACCATTTAAAAGTCTTTTTCATAGGGTTATTTCAGTTGTCATGATAAGCTTATGTAGGTGTCATAAAGCCTTATGAGCGGTGCCCTACAGTAAAGTGTTACCGTAAAGCCTTTGCTAGCACAACGATCAGTGTTACAGTTTGTGGAATTACGAAAAAATTCACAGATGTTAGTGCAGGGTGATTCAAAAACATTCATCCAATTTCAAAATGATTTATTTAACTTGTAAATCATTACAGATCAGTGCAGTAAACTGTAAATGGTTTAAATGAGCATAAAGTTTATTATGTAATTGTACAAGGTCTCAGTCTGAACCTCCTCCAGCTGTACAGACAACATCAACGCCATAGTCAAACTCATCCCATACTGGATTGAGCATGTTGGGTTTCGCTGCACTCACGGCTCTTACAGTGAGATTTCGGAGATCCAGTGTTTTTGGGAGTGGCACATAAACGTACCTCCACACCTCGTGACTTTTTTTCTTGGAACTGATGGTGCCAACGACGAACGCTCTGAGCTGTTGGAGGGTCACTGCCAGACTGACAGTCAGAAACTTTATGACCCCCTCTTTCTATTGGATTGTGGTTGGTTCCTAGGCGCCTCAAGGTTGTAAAAAAAAAATGGCGCTTTGAAATCAGATAAATCTTTCTGAATCACCCTGTATAACTAGAAAACTAAAAATGACCTTGAATGACCAGCTCTGTTGTAGAGGATGTTGGATTTTGTAGGTACATACTTTAGTACTGTAACAACTTTAGAAACTTTGTTAACTGGTTTTATTTATTGTCAGCTCAGTTCTGTGGTATTGAGAAGACTGTCTATCAAAAATAAAAGATTTTTTACCTTTTATTCAAAAATTCAAAAGTATAAACAGGAAAGCAAATTAAAAAACATTTGTTTCCGTTTCAGTGAATCACTTGTAAATTCTTTGAAAAGTAAGTAAATTCGATGCACAATAAAAATGAAAAATTAGCTCCCTTAAAGAACACATTTTAGCAACTATTAAAGTTTTAAACTATTTAAGTCAAATTTCTGCATGAACAGAACAGCACAGTTTTCTTTATAGACACCATAGCTGTCTTTGCTACTGCATGAAGTTGCTGCAGTCTCTAACACTTTGACGAAACTGCCTTGTAGAGAGTAAAACATGCATGTAACATTCGCTCTGTTTGTGACAGCCTTCAATTTCGGCTTTGACTCGTCGTCCTCCCACCTGAACCTGAAGGTGGAGGAGTGCAGTGTGGAGTGGGACCCACAGGGAGGTAAAGGCCTGGACAGCAAAGTCAAAGGAAAAGAGAACAAGGGCAGGTACAGACGCATAATCATTCATTACGCACATCTGTTATTTTTGTGTTGAAATTCTGCACTGGCCACTTTATTAGAAACCCCTGTCCTGTAACTCCACCTGGCTGGTGTACAGTGACGGACTGTAGCCCATCTGTTAATGCGCAGTGTCTGTGTTTACATACAAAGATTTCCGCCAATCCGATTGAATACATTCCGATTATAGATTCAGACTGAGTTGTTTATTCTCACTCTACTCAACAATCTGATGGAAAATCTCCGTTTACATGCTCACTACAAGTAATCCGATCCAAAGTGACGCATGTGTGAAGAGAACCGCTTAGTGTAGACGTTACCATGACAACCGGCATCACGTGAGTCCAGTCAGAGTGAGATGAGCAGCAGTGAGCAGTGCTTGTGTTTTTAATTGCTTTAAAATGATGTCAGACTCAGGAAAACGTCCTTCACATGTCCTTATTAAAGAAGGCCGAGAGGAAGACGTCGTGTTCTGAGACACATAAGCTGGACGTCCGTCCCACCGCCGTCTTTTAAAGATCAAAGCATAAACTTCGTCTCCTCTGCAGACCAGTTTCTGCTCCGCCATGTTGAACGGTATAAACTTTCACTATGACGCGACGAACATGATCAGAACGGACTTAAACTTTCTGATAGGGAATGTAATCAGATACAGGCGTTTACACGGATATTATTCTTCTATTTAACAGATTATTTAAAGGATTACCCACCTCGATCAATCAGATAGAAACTGTATTCCGAATGGCCTCAGTCGGACTAGTCTATTCCGATTGAGGTGTTTACATGGACGTATTCTATTCTGATTGAGCTATTAGTCGGATTATTAACGGATTATTAGGCTGCATGTAAACATGGCTACTGTTACGGTTGTCTAGGTTAGTCTTACTGTTGTTTTGACACTGGTCCACCACCCAAATAAGATCTGTTCAGCCCGGTTTCCTGACTGAAGGAAGCCCAAAAACAGATGGGCTGCAGTCTGAAATTGTACACCTATATAACAGACATCAAAAAATGGCCAGTTAGTCGAAGTGCCAGGTATGATTCTGTGGTAAAGTGGATGGAGAGAGTACACATTATTTGTATGGGAGTATTTTATAGAAACATCTAGGATATTTAGTGCTTATGATGTATTTTAAATGAACACCAATGCAAAAAAAATTACAAAAAAATTTGACACACTGTCTTTGCAGTTAAGTCCCATATTTGACATTTTCTTGATTTCCCAAACTGTTCAGCATGTGTGAACTGCCCATGTGGGCTCTAGCCTTCCTGGTGTTTTTTCCTCCTCATCAGTTCTGTCCCTGACATAGTGCTGCATATTCAAACAGGTTTAACATGTGCTGAATACTTAATCATATCTATGTAGTACTTCAGTGATGAACAGAGCTGCAAGCCATTCAGGGTTTGTAAAGGCCTCTGCTGTTGTTTCCTGTGGGACGTGGGGTGTTGCATTACTGGATCATTCTAGAAGCTCGTGATTTATTAAGGACCCAGACTGCAGCTGCAGGTTTTCTCTTCCCCCCTCAACTGTTCCTACTGTGTCTGTTTGCTGGGGTCTAAAAGAAGAAGACCCAATTATCGTCAGCCATTATTTAAATGCTTGGCGACACATTTCATCATACGCTACCATTCAAAAGTTTAGAATTGCTTTTTTATATTAGTCATTTTTGTGATTTTATTCAATAACTAGTACATAAGTGTTCAATTCAGTTGAAATCGAAGGCCATAGCATAAGATTGGTATCCGTTTTAAACTTATGGAACCATTCAGTAAGCTGTAAATTCAGTAGTGGGACAAGTGGACCCCAGTAATGTGTGCAAAATGCTCCCCACAGTATAAAAGAGCCACCAGACCCCCCACTGTAATGGTCAAGCATTCATGCCTGTACCTTGTGGCCTTTAGTATTGTATGCTGTAGCAGCCCTTCACTGGAACAAAGGGATTATCCCTCCTCCACCAAACTTACCACTAGGCATTCTGGTAGGTAGCGTCTCCTGCATTGTTGCTGAGCTATTGTTGCTGTTTGCTTTCATTTCACAATAATTGCACTTACAGTTGGCTGTGGCAGGCCTAGCATGACTGCTACATTTAAAGTCGCTGAGCCTTTCTGTCCAACCTGTACTGTCCATGTTTGTCTAAGGCAGGGGTGTCCAAAGTCTGGGCCAAATGCAGCCCATGGGCAGATTTTAACTGGCCCCCGGGTTCTGTTTTACAGTGTATTATAAGTGGCCCGCCAGCCAGTACATTGCAGTTCTTTCCTTCACCTGTTGGTGGCAGCTGACCAGACCTGCAGCTTTATTTAGTGAACCACATTTAGTCAAGACTACAGACATAAAGCTCAAACTAAACACTGAAAACATGATTTTGGCGAGATGGAAAACTTCTTATCAGAGCAAATTCAGTTGTTCAGTAAATATTAAGCCTTTAAGGTCGAACAGAAACGTGGCTACGCAGCGTTTATTTGATACGTAAAGAACGCCACCTAACAAAACCATAAACTTACAGATATTCGTTTAGTTTGTCTCACAAATTATATTTTTCAACAAGTAAAAATCATTTGAATAGGAATATGATTAATACATTAGACATGATGTACTGTTACTCTTAAACAGTTTAATTATTTATTATAAGCGCTTATTGATCCAAACTGTTTTGAATGAAGAATCCAGCAATAAAAGAAGACTCGTGCATAGAGTGATAGGAAACACAGTAGCTCACAGAAAGCCCAGATTCTATGTGCTGATATTCTGAAAACGTAATGTTTTGAGTCGTTTGTGAGCAAAATGACGGCCCTTATTTTAACACAGTACAATCTGGCCCTCTTTGAAAAAAGTTTGGACACCCCTGGTCTGGATGGATGGATGGATGGATGGATGGATAGGAAGGAAGAAAGACAGAAAGAAGGAAAGAAAAACAGAAAGAAAGAAAGACTTTATTGATCCTGAAGGGAAACTGCTGTGTTTCAGTAGCATCACATATAATTTCATATAAACTTACGCATACTATGCAGAAAGTAAAAAAATAGAAATAAAAATAGACATAAGTGAAGTATGAGAGTCAATATCCAGAAAAGAAAGAAAGTGAACTCAACAATTACGGTGGCTGTCCACATACTTTTAGCCATATAGTGTGTATTTAAGATATCTTTGCTTAATTTCTGAAAATTTACACCTTCCTACGTATTATATGGAACCTATGAAGATGTTCAGTGAAAGCATCTTATCTGAATAATTTTATACGTTTCTGAAAAACAAAATGTTTATATTTTAGCGTGATTCCAAACTTTTGAATGGTAGCGTAGTTGTCGAATGTGCCTCACTTTATGTCCTGCCTGCATATTTCCCCTTTCATTTTACCTGTTACAACACACTTTCACAGCTGTCTTCTTTTATTTATGCTTTCCTTTCTTGTTCATCGACAGCGCGCACCTCACTAATCTGAAGAACATGACCAGGTGACCCTGAGCTTGCAGGCAGTGGAATTTGACCCTTACTGAGAGCTTTAGGCCCTCACTGCTTCTTCTAGCTTGCCCACTCTGTTCTTCCTGTGTGCTCTTCTCAGGCTGTTGCATTAGCAGCAGCAGACCCTCTCTGTAACCTTCCTCAGAGGAGTGTTTTATGAACAGGATTACTGGGTTAGCCGAATAACTTTAATCTTTAAGTCTTATTATATATTTTTTTCGTTTAACTGTGAAAGACCTGTGGTTTTAACCTGAGATTTTAAGGGGCTCCTATCACAACTTGAATTTTCCTTCTTTTTAGTTCAGCAGAACTTCAATTAGTTCACATTGAAGTGATGCATAGTGTTGCTATCAGTCTGTAGCAGAGGTATGAAAGCGGAAGACGTGGAGAAAACAACTAAATGTTGTGCTGTTCATGGCTGTCAGGAAGCAAATGGATTATTGCAGCTTTTCAATGGAGCCACACATCTGAAAGAAGTAGATGAAGTTAATTGTTAATGACGTACCTATAGATTTCAGACTGAACGTAACAGTTTGTACCACATTTTGGTCCAGACTACGTTTTGGAGGACTAAAACATGGTAGCCAATCACAATAGAAGTCATTTATATCGCTGATGTCGGAAGAAATCCTTGTATCTCTATTTTTGTTGTTTTTCAGTTTTTGACATAATTTGAAAATGCCTGTTTCCCTTTGCATTGTGTGTAAATTTCATGATGAATGGACGAAAAGAAACGACCCAAAATGACTTGGAAAAAACTCTGGTTCCATTGACTTGCATTAAAAGTAAAGTAGGTTTTTTCCTTCTCCTGTAAAGTTACCATTTTGGAGACACAAGGTTTTCTTCCAACAACAGCGGAAATGAAGTTCAGCTTGATATGGGCCCTTTAAACGTGTTAATGAATTCGAAGAATGGACTTAATTTGAAGTGGTGATGGTTTGGGAAGTTGTTTGGCTGACTCTGTAATTCTGAATCATGAAACACCAAGTGCTGTAGATTTAATAACTACATAGAATGCAGGCTGGTGCGTGTGCTGTGTGTGACTGAACCAGTCATTTATAGATGAAGATTATTCTTAAATACTTATCATGTTCATTATGATGAACAGATCTTTTTGAATGCTTTTCTGCATCTATATCTCTCCTCCATCTATAACTGACCTCTAACTCTTTTTCTCTCTTGAATCAAGGATTCCCTTTCTCACTTTGCTCTCTCTCAAAAGAAATGGTGGCAAAACACGGTGATAATTGTGATAGGCATTAGTCCCCAGTGCTTAGTATAAAGCTAGTAAAATACCGTTATAAACTGCTCATGCTTGTCTTTTTTCATGCTTGCATCTTTATGATTTCGGTGAGTAACCAGTCTACTAAGAATTGTGTTCTTTAATCAGTCATTCCATCGTAGAAAATAGTTTTCACTAGGGGTGTAAATCTCTGATCACACATGATTTAATGACAGGCACGCGAAGAGAGAGACCATGGGGGTCTTGAGCCGCTGCCCAAGTGCCCTCTTGGCATGTTTAAAATTCTGTTTTCTATGGACTTCGCCATTGTTCAAGATCCATTTCAGTAAGGTGAGACTGAGCTCAGCCACCCCAGCAGAAGAGCTGGTTGGTTGGCTTGAGTTCCGCAAGCTGGTTCAGTACCGGTTGTGCCTCAGTCAGCTGACCTGACACTCACCAGAGCACTGGAAAGCTCAGATAACCACGATTTGACTATTGTGGCACAATTATTTGTCAGCATACACTAAATACGTACAGCACTGTGGAAGTCTGAGACCGTTGGTTGTTTATTTAATTTACTGTCAAACAGCCAGTTAAGTACAAGTTATTCATTTCATATCGCATCGGAAAAAAAGACGAAAACATATACTTAGAAAGTAGAAAGTAACACAGAAGCCATAAGAGCGGAATGTAATCTAATATAATAACAATATAATCTAATACAGTAATAATATAATCAGATCTTTTAGTATTTATAATATTAGTGTTTAGTATTTTCAGTTTCTCAAAGAAATCTGCAGACACACCTCCAAAGTTCAGTCTTAGAAGTTCTGTATCTTTTAATCATTTTTCAGTTCCACTTACTCCTTATATGGGTCATTCTACAGAACCGTCCATAGGAGTCACTGGTGTTACCGATCGTCATCGGTGTTACACATAAGAAAGGAAACACCAGAGACATTTTTAATGAACAATGCATTTTACAAAATGGCTGCTACAGAACATCAAACCACATGTTGTCAATCATGGAATATCCACTAAAATATGGAATTTAATCCATTTGTATTCTATTTTTTCACAGTTACCTCAGAATAAAGTCGGTCACACCAGTGACTTCAGCTAAAAGCTTCATATGAAATCATGAGCTAAATGAGAAAATCTCTGATAACTGAAAGACACAGTGGACTCACCATGTGCTTTTCTTCATAGATCCTCAGAAAACAGGTAAAAGGAAGTGAAGTGATGTCATCAGTGTGACTTTTATTTCAAAATAAGAGATTTTTTGTTACGCAGTAACACCAGTGACACGACTCCTGGGGACCAAAACTTTCATTATATATTTTATAATATTTATTTGTTTTCTTTATGTCATTTAAATCATATATTTCATAGTCATGTATAGATTATTGCAGTTAAAATAGCAGAAAAACATGTTTTTTACCTCAAAATATGGCCTCAGCCTTCACACATGACTGTGAGGACGAGCTCTTCTGTGGTGCTTGGAATTCTATATGATTGATTTATAAACCAATATTGCTAAATTGATGGTTCAGGAAGGCGTAATTGTTAAAATAACTTGTTAAAAACAATAAAATAAATTGTTTTATTTTAAAATTATAAATAAATTGTAACCCTAACATGTTTTTCGAGTGTAATATACCTGTAAAGGCTAGGGACACAAAGATTTCCATAGAATGACTCAGACAAGTAAATTATCATTTCCAGTCACTATTTTGGCCTCACATTAAATGAATGAAGGCTGATCTCAGACTTTTGCACAGTACTTTAAATGTGATGGTACATGCAGTAGTAGTGTATAAATAATAATTTTTGTCTTATTTTGCGTTTAAAATTAGCCCAAGATTGTAATTTGATCACATTAGTGAATATTATTATTTTAACTTGGTTATAATCCATTCTGACATTCCAGAATTGACACAGCTGAGTCTCCACCTTCAGAAAAATGCATGACTTAAATGCATCATTACGTTTTTACACCCCTAGTGTTCACATATTATCATCACCAGCCATCATACTGTGTACCATCATTAAGATAATAGGGCAGTGAGTGCATCTGTCTTGCGTAATGACTGAGCAGTGTCCACTGTTGAGAGATTTGACCCGCTCCATATGACTCTGTGGTTTAGGACGTCCCGTGAGGGCGTGGTCCGAGGCTTCCCTGCATGTCAATTGGCAGAGCCCTCTTTGTTTGAGCAGTCATTCATTCACCAGCTGCTCTCCTGCAAGTGTGTGCATGCGCCACATGGCTAATGGAGGCGGGGTCAGCCGTCGCCTCGCTTTGACATCTGTCATTGCACAAAGGCTCAGAATTCCCCACAGTACTCTAAAATCACTTAACCAACTCCTCGCGTAAGGGATTATATGACAGACAGGGTAACGACGTCCCTCTTTGCTTAGAAGGACATTTGTACGCTTGTTACATTATCACCACTACATTCCACAGTTATGTTAATATTATACAACAGTTAGTTCCGGCCAAGCAAGCTGATTGGTTGAGAAGCGTTCTATCTGTGCTGTTATTTCACCATAACATCACATTTTTTCACAAACACTGTACACTCCGCTGAGACTGTGTTGCTAAGCAACGACTTTGTCAGCTGTAGGAGACGCTCAAGCCATGTGAATGTTTTTACTTCTTACTTTGCCACAAACAGAAAATGGACACTTTTAAGATCACATTTGACCGACAGCCGATTTGGTCAGACTCTGAAGATGAGACGACACTAAGTTCCCAAACTGTCATCACCACTGAGCAGCTTCTCAGTCGGCAGCTGAGACAGAAGAACAGCTAAACAACCTGGAATCAGCCAGAAATGAACCCAACACCATTCGCCAAACTAAATGGGCTGTAAGATGCTTTACAGACTGGCTGGAACAAAACAACATTAATACTGATCTGGAAAAAACTGAGCTAAACTTGATATTGCGGCAGTTTTATGGCTCAGTCTGATTTGGTCAGACTCTGAAGATCAGACTACACATTTGGCCACTGAGGTTTCTGAATAGTATTTTCATCCACATATCATTGCTTTCATTATTGTTTCTAACATCCATAATGGCTGCTTCATTTAGGCCTTTGTCTAATCGGTCATCGCTGTCTTGTCCTGTGGAAGTCCCGGGTGCCGTTACTAACCAACGTGGTGTTTTATGTAAACCAAATCTGTTACCATTTCTTTTTGTGTGTCTACTTCACCTGAGGTCTGTTTTCCCTCTTCTCTGTGGTGGCTCTTTGAGCATGTGTTTGCAGTTGAATCAGCATGTGTGGATTCATCTTACTGTAGATGTCATGAACTCAGGATGTGTGTACTGTAAGCTGTGGCAGTGTTGATGTGCTAATGAAAACTGGCTGTGTGTTTACTGTCTTGGTGCTTGCAGAAGTGGAACTCCGTCTCCAAAAAGAGGCTCAAATACCCGTTCGCCAGCTCCAAGGGGAGGGAGAGACCGCTTTACTGGAGAATCCTACACAGTACTGGGTACAGAACTGGACCAGTTTTTAAATCAGTCGCACACTGACAGAAAAAAAATCACTATTCTGAGAGGACAGTAATCTCATATTGAGTTTTTTTTCCAGTCCATATATGTAGTTCATACATACTCTTCCTATTAATACTTTCAAAACTTCACCATCTCAAAGTTTAGAATCAATGTTTTCAATAATACAAAACCTGTTTTGTCGAGGATAAATGGATGAAGTGATTTGAATATGATTGTAGTAGCAAAACATCTGTAGGAAGCTGTAAAAGTATGAAGTTAAAATTAATGCCTCATATTTGAAAAATGGTGAGCAAGTCTCGAGGCAGATAACTTAATGAATTGCAATAAATATTTGGGTCATTCATACAGAAACGTCCACTTTTCTGTCTATCCATGGGAGTCACTGGTGTTACCGATCCTCATTGGTGTTACACATAATAAAGGGAACACCAGAGACATTTTTAATAAACAATGCATTTTACAGAATGGCTGCAACAGAGCATCAAACCACATGTTGTCAATCATGGAATATCCACTAAAATATGGAATTTAATCCATTTGTATTTTATTTTTTCACAATTACCTCAGAATAAAGTCGGTCACACCAGTGACTTCAGCTAAAAGCTTCATATGAAATCATGAGCTAAATGAGAAAATCTCTGATAACTGAAAGACACAGTGGACTCACCATGAGCTTTTCTTCATAGATCCTCAGAAAACAGGTAAAAGGAGGTCAAGTGATGTCATCAGTGTGACTTTTATTTCAAAATAAGAGATTTTTGTTACGCAGTAACACCAGTGACACGACTCCTGGTGACAACAACTTTCATTATATATTTTATAATATTTATTTGGCATTTGTTTTCTTTATGTCATTTCAATCATATGTTTCATAGTCATGTAGAGATTATTGCAGTTAAAATTGCAGAAAAACGTTTTTTACCTCAAAATATGGCCTCAGCCTTCACACATGACTGTGAGGACGAGCTCTTCTGTGGTGCTTGGAATTCAATATGATTGATTTATAAACAAGTATTGCTAAATTGAGGCTCAAGAAGGCGTAATTGTTAAAATAATGTATTGTTTTATTTTAAAATATAAATAAATTGTAACCCTAGCATGTTTTTCGAGTGTAAAATATCTGTAAACGCTAGAATGACCCATTTACAGTATACTATTTACCATCTAATAACTTCTTGTAGTTTCCAAAAAAAGCATCAAAAACATTCTGGTATCTAGTTCATAATATCTCAACCTACATTGTATAAGTTGTTGAACTGAACAAAATAATCATTGAAGTGTCCGTTTGTTCCAACCTTTTGAATAATAGAACATCAAGTCTACAAATGATGTCACTCGCTTTATACGTGTTCAGGTGATACCAGTATCGACTCTGGGCAGCACTACTGGGAGGTGAAGGCCCTGAAAGACTGCAAGTCCTACAGTGTTGGTGTGGCCTACAAGAACCTGGGCAAGTTTGACCAGCTGGGCAAGACCAACACCACATGGTGCATCCACGTCAACAACTGGCTCCAAAATTCATTCGCTGCCAAACACAACAACAAGGCCAAAAGCCTGGACATGCCAGTTCCAGAGAGGATAGGAGTCTACTGTGACTTGGATGGAGGTACAGCAGAAGCCATGAATGACTTAAAGAGCCTTAGGCTTCATTTAGAATCAAGCAGCGTCACATAGGAACTTAAATAATGCGCGGTATTATAAATAAAAAGACGTGGTCATGATATTTGCCAGCTTGTCCTCCAAGGATAGTGTTAAATTCTATTCAAACTGGAATAGTTTTACAAGAGAAAGTTGTGTAATATCATTTGTGGGATTTGATTTCTTGGTTGGTGCAGAATAAAATATCTGCGAATTTCCCCAAATACTCACAAATTGAAAGGTCACAGCTTTTATGTGAACCTCAGTCTCACACCACAGGACACACTTAACAAGGTGAGGTGGATTGAAACAGGACTCCTACTGAGAAAGCTAAAGGTTCAGCTAATAACAAAAGGCCTTACATTCCACACTGCAGATTCATACTGGATTAGAATCACTCCATAATTATTACTGTAGGACTGTAAAACTACACACACTGCAGATTCATACTGGATTAAAATCACTCACAATTATTACTGTCAGACTGTAAAACTACACACACTGCAGATTCATACTGGATTAAAATCGCTCCACAATTATTACCGTCAGACTGTAAAACTACACACACTGCAGATTCATACTGGATTAAAATCACTCCACAATTATTACAGTCAGACTGTAAAACTACACACACTGCAGATTCATACTGGATTAAAATCACTCCACAATTATTACTGTCAGACTGTAAAACTACACACTGCAGATTCATACTGGATTAAAATCACTCCACAATTATTACTGTCAGACTGTAAAACTACACACTGCAGATTCATACTGGATTAAAATCACTCCACAATTATTACCGTCAGACTGTAAAACTACACACACTGCAGATTCATACTGGATTAAAATCACTCCACAATTATTACTGTCAGACTGTAAAAACTACACACACTGCAGATTCATACTGGATTAAAATAACTACACAATTATTACCGTCAGACTGTAAAACTACACACACTGCAGATTCATACTGGATTAAAATCACTCCACAATTATTACTGTCAGACTGTAAAAACTACACACACTGCAGATTCAGACTGGATTAAAATAACTACACAATTATTACTGTCAGACTGTAAAACTACACACACTGCAGATTCAGACTGGATTAAAATAACTACACAATTATTACTGTCAGACTGTAAAACTACACACACTGCAGATTCAGACTGGATTAAAATAACTACACAATTATTACTGTCAGACTGTAAAACTACACACACTGCAGATTCATACTGGATTAAAATCACTCCACAATTATTACAGTCAGACTGTAAAACTACACACACTGCAGATTCATACTGGATTAAAATCACTCCACAATTATTACCGTCAGACTGTAACAACTATAAATACTACAAATTCATGCTGGATTAAGAACAGAATTCTTGTTGGCAGTCTGTTGGTAAAACTAAGCCAACTCTAACAGGGCTTTAAATGTCATTATGACGTGTCCAGAACAGAAATTGACCACTACATCTATCAGTTTGAAACTTCCTTATGCAATATCTGCCCCTCTGATGTTATTTGAGTACTGGAGTATATTACGGGAAATCCTATATCTCACCCTAAGCGCCTTTCTCCCTGTTCCTCGCCTTGCCGAGGGCTACCGGACACCTGTGGATCGAATGTCCACAGATCTATTAGCTATTCTGCCAAACAGAGAAACACCAACAGGCTTTGTGAAGCAGCGTTCTTTTCAATCGCTTAGTCCAGCTGAATGACCGCATTGTATGTTTTGCGACTGATCTTTTCTCTTTCGTCTTCTTTCTGTTCTTTTCATTTCAGGTCAGCTTTCTTTCTACAACGCAGAAAGCAAACAGCTGCTTCACACGTTCAAGACGAAGTTCACTCAGCCTGTTGTGCCGGCCTTTATGGTGAGAGGAGGTTGAATAGTCGCAAGAGAGGTCATCGAATTCGATGCTCTCTTCCAGCTACAGTGCAGTTTTTTTTGTTCCTCTAGGTTACAATACATGTGCAGTGGAAAGTTGTGCAAACAAGCAATCAAAAAAATAATGCATTATGTAGTAATAATAATAACGTCCCTTACAAGTCAATATTTACAGTGAGTGTGGTTACCACTGAAATTGGAGCTTCTACGTGTTTCACTATGGCACAGTGCAGAAAGCATAAGGTCAGGCTATATGTAGCTGGGTAAAATTAAATCTGACCCACTTGTCCATGCACCAGTCTGTCTTCTGCCACAAATGGAATGTTATGCGCTTCATCTGCTAATAGCAGCTTCATTGAGTACAGAAAAGACTGAGTAGTTCACACGTTTAGGGGACAGCAGATCAAAAGAGCTCAATGCTGAGGTCTGCAGATGTGTTTGAAGTGGGTACAGTTTACAACACTAACTCATCAGTGCACTAGTAATAGTGATCCTGGAAAACCTGGCAAGGCCTGAAGATCTGAATGAATTATGACAGCAAAATTGTTATAAACAAAAAAAATTCTTGCCTCCAGTGAGAGATTAATTCCAAAACTGCAAACGTCACCTACCACCCTTCATTTATTTCACTCAGTCAAGCGCAAGAAAACGGGATTCTTAACAACACTGCAAGACCACGGTCCGAAAGTGTGTGTAGCTGACAGGAAGCCGTTAAAATAACACCTGCAAATCAAAGAAGATGCTGGTGTTCTGAGAACTATAGAACAACTTATGCATCACTGAATATGAAATCATTCGGATTGTGAGAAGCAGAAAAATTTAACCAACTTCTGAGACTGAACTTTGGAGGTGTGGGAAAATGTCCCTGCAGATTTCAGTGAGTGCGTTTACATGCACTAAATAATCCGAAAACTGCAGAAGATCAGATTTTGTCTGTAATCCGATCAACACGTTTACGTGTACTTGAGTAATCAGATATTGGGGAAACTCCGGGTCTACATGCATCAGACAGTAATCAGATTTCTTTACAACCATCTAATAAAGTCACAGAGGAAGACGTGACGTAAACGTAATGTAAAACGAAATAATAATAAATCACATCATTTTTTTCTTTGGGTAAACAGTGAAAACGGGTCCCACAGACCTGAACACCACACAAGGGTTAAACAGTTAGACAGCATGATGATTTATTTCCTTAGTAATATGTTTGATGTCTTGTTCCTAAATTGTTACTTTAGCAAATTGATACTTTACAAAATCGGTACTTCAGGAAATTCTTAATTTACTATTTTGTTATTTTATATTTTTTCTGCCATTTCTAGTCCACATATTGAACTAAAGAATTAACCATTAGAGTTAATGTAAATGGGAAATCATAACATTTTTCATCCATTCTGTGATGTATTTCCACGTGAAGCTCTGTATCAGGGAGCATATCTGAGCTAGCTGAACGTTTCTCTCAGTGATGGGGGTGGGGGGGTGGGGGGGGTGGGAGGGGGGGGAGAGATGAAACAAGATATTGTTGGCTAATATTATTTTCCCCGCCTGATGGTCCACGATCAAATAATCAAAAATGAGAAGACGATCCAGAGGTGGAGTGAAAGTCACCAAGAAACAAGACTGTTGTCTTTCAAATTCAGTCCTATGATGAATGAAAGGACATGAACTAACATGATAAAAAAGGTTTTAAGTTGACTTTAAAGGGCCCGTATCATTTTTTTGGAGTTTGACAGACTCACTCACTCCCTCACTGTCACTCTCTCACTCTCTCACTTTCTCACTCTCTCTCTCTCTCACACAGGACAGTTATAATAATAAGGGTGATACAATATGAAAAGAATAATATATACAAAAAAACATCTACAGGCATAAATACAACTGCCTGTTCATGAATAAAGAGAGGTTGGAAATGAACATTAAAAATGAATTATGACTGTTTTTATTGCATAAAACTACACAAATGTTACAAATTAAAAGGAGTAAATAACAAAAAAACACAACTTGTTCACATTTGACATGTAAACTCTTTCACTAAAGTTGTGAAAAATGGAGTTTAAAGATTATGAATTCTGTTTCTTGTTTCTTACGCAGGTGTGGTGTGGTGGGCTGAGTCTGTCGACAGGTTTACAGGTGCCCAGTGCGGTCAGAAGCTTCCAGAAAGCTGAAAACGGGCTGGCGGGATCGAACAGCAGCCTGAACAGCATGGCGCAGTAGCCCGAACTACCCAGCTCCAAAAAAAACAAAAAATAAATAAAGAACTGCTGTGCTCTGAAGCCACCCAGTGCTTGCTGATTTAGGACCAGCTTCCTCCTGCACACATCTTAACTCCTATCAGCAGCAAAACAGTCGCCTCCACAAACAACCCATAAACTTCAACTCCTACTTCCAGAAATGCCCTTCCTGAGGAATCTGTGATCCAGTGATGGAATGCTGTGAGGCATCATGGGAAATTGGGTCCTGGACTGGCAGGAACCAGATAAAAACGTGCTCTACTCCGCCTTCGTCTACGCCTATGAAAATGAAACGTATTGTCATATGTTGTCAATATATTCCAAAATACAAATGGAATACATTGATCAGGCATAACGTTCTGACCACCTCCTTGTTTCTGTGCTCATTGTCCATTTTATCAGCTCCACTTACTATATAGGTGCACTTTGTAGTTCTACAGTTACAGACTGTAGTCCATCTGTTTCTCTGATACTTTGTTAGCCCCCTTTTACCCTGTTCTTCAGTGGTCAGGACCCCCATGGACCCTCCAAGAGCAGGTACTATTTGGGTGGTGGATCATTCTCAGCACTGCAGTAACACTGACGTGGTGGTGGTGTGTTAGTGTGTGTTGTGCTGGTACGAGTGGATCAGACACAGCAGTGCTGCTGGAGTTTTTAAACACTTCACTGTCGCTGCTGGACTGAGAATAGTCCACCAACCAAAAATATCCAGCCAACAGTGTCCTGTGGGCAGCGTCCTGTGACCACTGATGAAGGACTAGAGGATGACCAACACAAACTGTGCAGCAGCAGATGAGCTATCGTCTCTGACTTTACATCTACAAGGTGGACTGACAAGGTAGGAGTGTCTAATAAAGTGGACAGTGAGTGGACACAGTGTTTAAAACTCCAGCAGCACTGCTGTGTCTGATCCACTCAGACCAGCGCAACACACACTAACACACCACCACCATCCTAACCACTGAAGAACAGGTTAAAAGGGGGCTAACAAAGTATCAGAGAAACAGATGGACTACAGTCTGTGACTGTAGAACTACAAAGTGCACCTATATAGTAAGTGGAGCTGATAAAATGGACAATGAGTGTAGAAACAAGGAGGTGGTCATGATGTTATGCCTGACCGATGTACATTGCAATGTATTTTCAATATATTTCTTTCTTTTGTGTGGGTACGGTAAGACAAATGCCTCTTTCTCGGTTTTCTTTCTGTCTCTTGTTATCTAGAGGCTAGTGGCTTTATCAGGGAATAGTTGAGTGCACTTTTTCCTTACTAATTTTAGGTTGAATTTGTTTTTGTTATGATTTACTGCTGACACGAGTTAACTCCGGAACGAGAGACCCTGTCCCGTTTGATTTGTCGTGTTATTTTATTGAAAAACGTGTAATTTGGTTTAGTTTGGTTTGTGTTTAGTATCTATGCGTGTGTGTGTGTGCGTGTGTGTGTGTGTGAGAGTATGGCCTATGAGTGAGAGTGACTATTACCTCCTGTCCGATCAAGGTATTTTTCCTTGGACTCTGATGATCCTTTTCGCCGTTTAAAACGCGAACCCTGTAGTTTTTACTACGGTATGTGAAGTGGTTGAATATGACTGTGGAAAACTTTTGCACGATGTAAACAATTTCAATGCTGCTTCTTTAGTCTACCGTTAATTCTGCTGTTTGTACAAACGGTCTGTTTAGTCCTGTCTACCAAAAAACATTTTCAGAACGTCACCTGGACCTGGACTCCAGACCACTTTGGTTATGGCTGATATGATGGATTTTTTTTTTTTTGTTTTTCCTCTTATCTGATGCATTTATCATCTTCCTTCATGTGCATATCAATAACTGTTGGGTCTGTCCATTGAATAATTTATTGACTTTTTTTATGTCATTAAGTTGTGCAAAACTGGAAAGTAAACTAGGTTTCGGCTCTTTATGTCTATGGGGCTTCTTTCACAGATGCTTGGAAGGTCGCACCACTACACAGTTTACTGATTTCTCTGCCAAAAAACTAATAATAAACACAAATTTGAACAAAGAATACATTAAAAGTCCTCCACTATGACAGGTTGGCCTTCCTTCACCAAAGACTCTTATGCAATTGAACATCCACCACTAAAAACAAGGCACTGCCGCCATCTGGCGGCCTTGTATTGAAACAGCAATAAAGAGAGCCATACAAAATCTCAGATTTCATAAAACTACGACCTAGATTTAAATATCTGCGCTCAAATCCCGTGTTTTGTTTGGTAAACAGACTCGTGCCCAGGCGCAGACAGTTTTTTCGTCTTGTTTAAACCATGACAGCCTTATTTGTTGTGCAAAATAATAATTCGCCTCTGTACTTTTAAATGTTGTTTTTTTTTTTTGTTTTTTTTTTTAGGACATTGAACCACGGTTGACGTTCCAAACCCGAATTGAATAAATTAATTTAAAATAAAACATCCTTGGTTTGTTTGCTTATTTGTTGACCACCTATTGACTCTGACATAGATATACTTACCTAGATGCTGTGTTGGGTCCAGCCAGGCACGTCAACGGCGTCGCCATTTTAGGGCGGTCAACATCGCTGCTGGACCGCATTCAGTGCCATTACAGAGCGGCAGTTTAAGAAAGTTACTGTCCAAAATTATACTATTTCAGGAATATTACACTCAGAAAGTGGGATAGGATTATATAACGGAGGGAACGCAGTGATCCACACTCATGTCTGTGTGATGTGTATTGTTTGTGTGGTGTTTATGTAGATATGGCCGTGTGATTGGTGAGGAACAGAGAACCTGTTGATGTGATTGTTTTTCCTCTGGTTTTATATGAAGCTTATCTCATTTAATAGTCTATTCAGGGGGTCTTAACTTGATGTAGTAGTTATTTATTTACAGTGATGGTTAAAGCTTTGTAGCTCGGTAAGTTACAGCATTCCTTAATCCGTGTAGATATTCATAATAGATTAGCGTTAGCACCTTCTTACACCAAGCTGAGTTAGCTTCTTATTTTCAAGCTTCTTGTTCAAATTTTCCCGTTCCAACTTAAATGGTGCAGCTTCAGGCACCAGAAAGTACCTGCTGCACCATTTAAGGTGGAAAACTCGAACGAAGCTGGCGAATAGGAAGCCGACTTCAGCTCCGTCCTTCTCACTGTGTTTTGGGGGTTTATTTTATGTTTATGTGTATTAAGATTAGAAGTGATTCCCTCAGTGATGGATCTGCTGATGTGTGTGAGTTTGTGTTTTTTACTCGCGCTAAACTTGGTTTTTAACGTCAGGTGCAGACTGAATACTTTCCTGCTGGTCCGGACGGCTAATTATCACGATCAGTTATTAAAGTAATAAAAGCTACCGAGAGCAGATCCGTGCAGCCCAGATTAATCTGTGTCTGAGGATTATAACTAAACAGATTTGGTGAAAATCGGTTGAGTAATAAGGAAGTTGTGGCTAATTTAATCCTGAGACTCATCGTCTCTCAATACAAGTGAATCTGTTCACAAGCGGATCTTGACCTCTCCAACATGGCGGACGAGCAGCTCTATCGCCTCAGATAGAGAACAACAGACAACGCAGCATATAGGAATGGATATGACTCAAAGCACGTTTCCATAGTTACAGTGTAAGGCCTGACCGGCTAACGCTGGCTATGCTAGCTAACTGTGTTGTTTTATTGATACTGTGGTAAATCCTTAGCTAATGTACTTCAGGTCATATTTTCTTGCCTCAGTAATGCTAAAATATTGATATTTCACTTTTTTACAGATCACTCAACAATTTACCAAAAAAAGTGTTGAGAAAACGCCTGTAAATTCATTAGCTATAGCTAACGAGTTTTGACAGGTTAGCATCATATTGCAGCATCAGATAATTTTATTTTTTTCATTATCTTGTAACGTTAGACTGGTGATTATTACATTTTATTTTAGAATATCATACAGGGTGTCCCAAAAAATTGACATCATTTGAGATGTGAGTATCTGAGTAACTGCATGTCCTGGCAAATGAAATTAAATAGGCCTCATGCTGAACAATACACGATTTATTTATCAAAATTTGAACAAGAAATTCAGAGGGACGTAGATTTTATAACCGATTCCACAGCTTCACAAATGTAATATCTTCCGATACTGGTGGTCGTCCAGACCCCTCTGTCCTGCACAGACAGCCTTCCTCTTTGAATTTTTTGTGCCATGTCCAAATCTGCTGTCCAGTTGGTGCATTTTTATTGAATTTTCTCGAAAATGCTGCTGCACTCTCTCGTTTGACTGTGTTCGAGCATATTCTAACACACAAAATGCCTTTTCATTTCTAGTGAACGCCATTCTTCAACCTGAAAAACAACATTAAAAATTAAACTTGGTTAGTTTTTACACATTTTGTTAAAATTTGAGATCATTTGAGGGAGAATTGGCTTTTATTACACTACGAAATGATGTCAATTTTTTTGGGACACCCTGTATATAACCTAGCTAAAACACTGAAGATTATACGTATCTGCTGTTCTGTAGTTTAGCCTCTTATTCTACAGGGTATTTTTTGGTTTGTCCATCTGAATTTTCATGACCAAATCATAAGGCAAAATATTCAGTGACTGCATGAAATAAATGTACTTTTTTATTTTTTTAAAGCTCCCCTCAAATTAACAGAACCTGTTTTTTATGATCACACATATTGCTATATGCTTACAATTTACTGCTGAAGGCCAAAAATCTTAGACGCTCTTTGTATTATTTTATAAAAATAATGTTTACAGTGCAGATCACTGAAGAGACGCCATCTGTTTATAGTTTATAGCCCAGATTTGTGAAAAATGGGTCGACTTTCAGTAGAAAAAAAAAAACTGAGTTCAGCTTCTTTTATTATAAGGGTTTAAAATTACATCACCCATCTATTTGACTGGAAAGAAGACAGTTACAGCTCTCATACGACCCCCACCTTTAGAATGTAGCTTATGAAATATGAAAGTTATGAAGAATATGAGGAAGTGCATTTTGGAACCACCGGTGGTCTCAGGGAGTTGAAAAGGTTAGACTAATATAGGTTTTCTTGTACTGAAATGATTGATAGGTACATTGACTATAGCATGATGCTGCTATGGTGTTCCTAATAATAATAATAATAATATTAATAAATAAATAAAAATAAGTTCAACTTATATCGCACCTTTCTCAGACCCAGGGTCGCTTTACTGTGGAAGGGGAGAAGAGGGAAAAATAAAACAAAATATGGTTGATAAAGTACTGCTAAGCAGTTGCAATGGTATCCCAGGTGGTTGTTAAGGTGTTGCTAGGCAGTTTTATAGTTGTATCATAGTAGTGTAGTAGTATATTAGTAGTATAGCGTACTACTAATAGTGTTTTCTTTAACAATAAATTAATAAAATAGTGAACAAAGCAGACTTCAGTCTCTTCTTCAAAGTAAGTCGAGCATTTGTTCGGTCTGGTTTGTTTAGCTAACTATTTTATTGCTTTTTTATTTATTGCATTCTAAACGTACTATTTTAAGATTATTTTATTCGTTTTAATTTCAGAATTTTACGGAGCCCTGCTGGTGACATCATGTGTAAATAAAATTAACGTGTGGCCACGCCTTATTAACGCGTGGGAACGAGATCCTAATGCATGGCCACGACTTAGTAAGGCGTGGGAATGAGATGATTAAATCGTGGCCATGACTTGGTAAGGCGTGGGAACGAGATCACGGCTTACTAAGTCGTGGTCATGCGTTAGGATCTCATTCCCACGCTTTACTAAGTCATGGCCACAACTTAATCATCACATTCCCACGCCTTACTAAGTCGTGGCCACGCATTATTTTTGTTTATACAGGATATGTCACCAGTGGGGCTCCGTAGAATTTTAATGATTTATTTTAGTTTATTTTTTATTGATTAAATATTTTTTACTTATGTTTTTTTTGTTGTTTTTATTCAATTTTTTTATTTTTGATTTATAAGCATTTTGTAAACTTTGTATTTTGCAAATAAAGGTGATTATTAGTGCTGGAATATAGTATTATTAGTGTTTATACTGCTCGGATTCCCGGGTGAACGGTAGCGTTTCAAATCGCGTTTCGTGCCGCTTTGTCCCTCGTCTCTTGCCGTCCGGTTGCGTTGGAGGCTTCTCTGAAATCTCCGCGTTGAAATTGAAATTATTATGATATTTATTATCCAACTTGGGATTATATCTCGTTCTCCTCAGATGAGTAAGTAGCCGCCGGACAAACGATGATTGCCCGTTAATTCAAATAGCATCATTATTATCACATCAGTGCAGTAGCAGCGGTGCTAACTGCAGGTCTGTCCGTGTTTGTGTTTGTGTTTGTGCAACGAGACGAAGCTGAATTCAGCTTCCTATTCAAATTCCCTGTTCCACCTTAAATGCTAACCATTTAAGGTGGGACAGGGAATTCCAATAAGAAGCTGGCGAATAGGAAGCCAACTTCAGCCTCGACAGTGAATGAGACTGACTGCTGCTGGATCTGACTGTGATTAATATAACAGTCTGCACCGGTCAGGCATAACATTCTGACCACCTCCTTGTTTCTGCGCTCATTGTCCATTTTATCAGCTCCACTTACTATATAGGTGCACTTTGTAGTTCTACAGTTACAGACTGTGGTCCATCTGTTTCTCTGATACTTTGTTAGCCCCCTTTTACCCTGTTGTTCAGTGGTCAGGACCCCCATGGACCCCCATGGTACTATTTGGGTGGTGGATCATTCTCAGCACTGCAGTAACACTGACATGGTGGTGGTGTGTGTCGTGCTGGTCTGAGTGGATCAGACACAGCAGTGGTGCTGGAGTTTTTAAACACCTCAGTGTCACTGCTGGACTGAGAATAGTCCACCAACCAAAAACATCCAGCCAACAGTGTCCTGTGGGCAGCGTCCTGTGACCACTGAAGAAGGACTAGAGGATGACCAACACAAACTGTGCAGCAGCAGATGAGCTATCATCTCTGACTTTACATCTACGAGGTGGACCGACAAGGTAGGAGTGTCTAATAGAGTGGACAGTGAGTGGACACAGTGTTTAAAAACTCCAGCAGCACTGCTGTGACTGATCCACTCAGACCAGCACAACACACACTAACACACCATCACCACGTCAGTGTTACTGCAGTGCTGAGAATGATCCACCACCCAAATAGTCCCTGCTCTGTGAGGGTCCATGGTTGTCCTGACCGCTGAAGAACAGGGTAAAAGGGGGCTAACAAAGTATCAGAGAAACAGATGGACTACAGTCTGTAACTGTAGAACTACAAAGTGCACCTATATAGTAAGTGGAGCTGATAAAAATGGACAATGAGTGTAGAAACAAGGAGGTGGTCATAATGTTATGCCTGACCGGTGTAAGTCTGAATTTCACATCCACATTAGATGTTTTGCATTTTGCACTATAGGTGGTGAATGAAGGCAGGCTGGCTTCTTTGTGTCAGTGTCCCAAACTAATTTTGTTGCATCTGTTTGATTTCAGAGCTCCATGCCAGCAGCACCGTCTGACCACAAGTATGGTGAAGGAGTCAGCCTTATGGCACTGCCCCTTACCATCACATGCATCCAGGTGGCCCCATGCCTAGAATCAACAAGACAGTTGTGCTGGCATTGCTCATCGCAACCAGTTCCATATTCCTCTTGTTTCAGCTGTACTACTACAGGCAGTATGTTTCTAAGGTGAGAAGACGTCACAGAGATCACTATTAGAGGAGAATTCCTCTGATTTTCCAAACATTCAGCGTGAATTCCTTGGCAAAAAGTGTCATTCAGAGTGATTCAGGGAACTTGCAGACTCTGACTTTCTTTACAGTGGTGGTGAATGGAACCAGAATAGAACCTATAGTTTTAGGCCAAGCCCTTATATAAAACTATCATAAAGCCATGTTTTAGGCATTAGGAAACATATCTGTAACTGTTTCAAGCTGCATTAAACTCTTCAGACATCTGGTTCCTATCACCACCACTATAAACAAATGTGTCTCTGTAATTTTCTCTAGAATGAAGCATCTCACATCAAACCTATCTGAGGTGTTGTATGTCTGACGTTAGCCTCTTACTCTCTGAAAGTGCGTTATGCTATAGAGCAGAGGTTCTCAGCCTTTTCCACCTCAAGGCCCACCCATTTGACACTAGAAAGTATGGAGGCCCATAGACATGCTTTATTTTTCAGGTGCCGACACAGAAAACTTAGGAACTATGACCTGAACACCAGCTTCAAGATCAGGTCGTCCAATCGCAGAAACCAAAAATTGACCTTAGCAAAAAGGGAAGAAATGTATTGTGTTTAAAAGACCAAGGCTAGATTGTTTTCACAATAAAGCTTCTTATTTGAATTTCTCATTCCACCTTAAATGCTGCAGCAGTTACATCTTAAAGATTTAATTGCGTAGAAATTCTGGAAAATCAGTGAGGCAGAATCATTCAGAGTGGTGTGATGTGAAATGGTTAATTTCTATCCAAAACCACCACTGAACCTACACGAGTCTTCTGAGTTTTATATGGAATGCTGATGATGGAAAATAGCGGTAAATAAAAAATGTTTCATTTTAATTAATGTTTTAGACAAAAACGGTTGTAAAATAGTGCCTTAGGCATTAGACAACATATTTATAACCATTTCAAGTATTGGCTTTCTGTGAGGCAGTCAAACATTCAGATATCTGGTTCCCATCACTACCAATTCTTGGTAAGTTTCTCTAGAAGGAAGCATTTCTTTTCAAACCACTCTGAATGAAATATTGTTCCAGTTCTTTTTTAAGCACTACTGCCAGGAAAGGCCAGTAATACTTTGTTAGCCCCCTTTTACCCTGTTCTTCAGTGGTCAGGCCCCCCATGGACCCTCACAGAGCAGGTACTATTTGGGTGGTGGATCATTCTCAGCACTGCAGTAACACTGACGTGGTGGTGGTGTGTTAGTGTGTGTTGCGCTGGTCTGAGTGGATCAGACACAGCTTTTGGAAAGGCTTAATGTCATCATGAAACATTGTTTGATTAAGTGAACCATCTTTTTGTAGAATGGACTTCATGCCTTGACTGGTAAAGGCTACTTGGCTGGGAAGGAGGCACAGTGGGTGAGACACAAGTTTATTTATGCTAATTAACAGATTATCATAATTTGTAGACGTTAATGAGAAACTCGTTATGTAATGTTTTTTGTCTTCTTTTCACATCAATATCCTCTTTTTCTCCCATCAATCAACACAATGCTGGCCAGAATAGGTGTCTTTTAGCTAGCATAACAGAATGGGCGGTTAGTGTTGAGCTGTCCAGTGACATTAGCAGCAGTTTGAAAACATGTTCTGTCACATGTCAAAAGAAGTACATGCAAGTCTTCAACCTCCCAGTGTTGGTAGTGTTGTATGATTGGGGAAGACCTAGTTAATGGGTGGCATTGGACATAACTAAATGGGGAGAAAATTCTCAACAAATGGCCCAAAAATTATTTTTAAAATATTAATCTAAATTTAACTCAGCTGTCTTCATTTTAACTTTCCAGGCTTATTACATACTGAGGCTTATTATTCAGTAACAGTACAGGGGCTTCAATGCAAACTAGTGGAGCTATTCTTAGGTTATGGAAGTGAGCAATAAACCTTTGGGCCCGCAGACAGGCCCATAGCCATTTAAAGGGTTAATCATTGCTGTTGGCCCTGATTGTGAATAACCATGAGACGGGAACCAATGCATTGCATTTTAGTTTGTAGATCAACTGCCTTTTTTTTTCTCTCAATGCAGCATTTAGTGAAGAAGTTTCTAAGCCTGGCCCACAAGTTTAGCCTGCCTGTGTTTCTGGTGGATAAGGCCTCCCTGAGCCTGCTCTCCCAGGATGCTGTTCTACTAAAGGACAGTCAGCTGAAAGAGCCCCACTGCACCTTCCTCTGCACCAACAGGGACTTCATCACCTTCGGCCTGCTCGGAAACCTCTGGAAATATGATGTAAGAATACGTGCTGAATGGAGGAATCACTGCTCTGCAAGTGTCGACTCTGCTGTTTATGCCAATTGTTTTTTTTTTTGTTTTTTTTTCACAATTAGATGTAGTCTTTATATATGGGTCAATCCATGTGAATTTATAAAAGGCCTCCCGACTGACCAGATTAATACCCAACACGAATTTAAGCTTGTATCTTCATTAGTCCCTGATATATAGAGGCTTTAGAAATAGGTGTGGCCTTGATGTAGCCTTTCTACTACAGATAGGAATCTCATTGTGACTATGTTTAAAGAAAATTAATATAGCGAAGGATCTTGTATCAGTGGTGTCAGATCTGGGAGAACGTGGCGCGTCTCTTTGTGCAGGCCAGCTTGCTGGAGGCAGCGGAGGAGCGCGGCCTGGAGCTGCTGGAGATTCGGGGAAAGGACCCCAGGCTTGTCAGCATGGACGACCTGATGGGCAGTGAGATCCCTCTGCATCTCCTGTTCCGTTTCAACAGCCGGCTAGTGCATGTGGTCGTGCTGTACGAGCGAAGCGGCAACTACCTGTGGCACGGACCCCTGCGACTCAAACCCAGCATGGACCATACCTTCGCCCCCTTCAGGAAACTGGACTTCGGCCGCTATGCAGGAGCGTACGACAGGTAGCTCTGTTCATGCCTCGGAGGAAGATGAGATGTTTTTGTGGCTGTTATCCTGAACCGAGTCGAATCGTATTCTAAAAAGAGCTCTTTCCGTTTATCTCCGGGGCATCTGATTGGCCACTTACTTTTCTCTTTTTTCCTGCTGTTATTTTCCTTTTTTTGTCTCATCATCTATTAGAATGGAGACCCGCATGAAAAAATTAAAATACTTTATTTCTCAGGTGCTGACACAGAAAAAATAAAAATTATGACCTGAACAGTAGCTAAAGGATCAGTTCGTCCAATCACAGAAACCCAAAATTCACCTTCAAAAATAAAATTGTAAAGAGGGAAGGAACGTATTTTGTGTTTAAAGCTTCTCTGTCATTTTTTGGGTCTGGATTAAAATAATTTTCACAATATAGTGAAGGGGGAAAAAAGATTGCAGTTTGTAGTTCATTGTAAATAATAAAATCAATAATAATAATAATAAGTTATTATTCATAATAAAAACAGTGTTGACCCAGCAAACAGTCTTAATTAAACTTTTCACTCAAATTTTTGAAAGCAATTGAAAGTAATTTCTCTGTTTCTTCTTGATCTGCATGTTAGGCTGTGATAACTGTTCATTGATTGGGTGATGGGTGAGGAGAGCACAACAGTGACCAGTTTTTCCCTGTTATCCAAACTTTTTTCACTTTTTTTCTAATTTTTTTTCTGTTTGAATGCATAATTGATATTGACGCTGTTGTCAGAAACGTTCAGTACAGCCATATGCAGCGTGTAAGACCGAGTGTGTTTATATGCACTTAATAGTCAGATAACTGCAGAAAATCAGATTTTGTCAGTAATCCGATCAACACGTTTACATGCTCTTGTGTAATCAGATAATGGGGAAACTTGGGGTCTACATGAGTCAGACAGTAATCAGATTTCTGCTTTACAACCAGCCAATAAACTCACAGAAGACGACGTGACGAAAACGTAATGTAAAATCAAACTTCATGCTGCAGCTTTTAAAAAAAACATTGACCCACTTTACCTGAAAATATGAACATACATCATTTAGAAGATGACGAATATTTAAAACCTTAATTTCGTCAAGTATGTAGTCGGTTTCAGCGTCGCCGCGAGACATGGCGAGACACTTTTGGAGCGATGCTGAAACCGACTACGTGCTTGACGAAATAAAGGTTTTAAATATTCTTCATCTTCTAAATGATGTATGCTCGCTTATTTCCAGTACCGCCGTCTTGTTTTCGTACATGCGCAGACTGTGAAATCCGAAAGAAATCAGAGTAAGAGTTCACATGCACTGAGAAATCTGATTACTGAGCTAAAGTACAACCTCTTTATCAGACTTCTTAATCAGATTTCTAGATCTTACTCTGATCTGAGAAATCGGAGTATGCTGCTTACATGACAATTTGAATGATCAGATAACTGTTTATTGCAGGTGTTAAAGGGGAATTTTGTTGATTTTTCTTAATTTCTTCATAACTCAATCGTTAAGATGTAAACAGAGTCATTCAGAGTGGTTTGGTGTGAAACGCTCTGTTCTAGAGAAACTTACCGAGTCAGAACTGTTCACAGTGGTGGTGATAGGAACCAGACGTCCACCTCTAAAAGCTCCCTCACAGAAAGATATTACATGAAATGGTTATGAATTCACTGCCTGATGCCTGAAATATTATTCTGTCATAGTTCTCAGATAAACATTTGGGCTACAAGGTACTTTTTAAAATGCATAAATGGTGTGGAGATACATGTCGGGCATCATAAGGCAAAGTAGTTCCCGAAAAATATTTATCATTATTTTACCATCATCAACACTGCAGATAAAAACTCAGAAGACTTGTGTAGGTTCACTGTCTATATATGTGTTGTAGTCATGGCGACCCCTGGTTCCTATCGCCACCACTGTAAAGAAATCAGAGTGTGTAAGTTTGAAGTACAGTGAACAATTTCACATCAAACCCCTCTTAATGACTTTGTTTACCTTGCAGTGTTTTGAAATATGCATACATTTGGAAAAATCAGTAGAATTTCCCCTTTAATATTGTTTACTATTTGAAAACATTTTATATTTCTTTCTGTTTATTAAGTTACAGACCTTTATGACCTAAAGTGCTATCAGTGGCCTTTTAAAGACCGCAGGCTTTCTCTTAGTACAGGCCTGAGGACCACCGAAGGGCCCAGGGGTTGAGAACCCTAATGTACCAATAGAAAACATTTCTCTCTGCAGTTTGACTTGTTCAATAAAGATGAAGATGAAAGTCACAACAAAACCTTCTATCTCCAAAACAGTAATATTAACGAGATCAGAAAAAACTTGCATAATTTTAACTTTAATGTTAATGTAAGATTTTAGTCCAGGTAATTCTGTTGGTCCATTCACCATGAAATGTCCATACACGATAGAAGGCAGCTGGTGTTTTTAATTCAGCATGTGTATCAAAGTGAAATGTTAATGTTGAGATTACTTGTTTCCTTTTCCAGGCCCGAACTCATCCTGAGCACTCTAGATGGCCTTGATGTACGAATTCCCAAAAACTTCTCACGCTTCCTGAAGGAAAATTCCAACAGCCGCTTTTTGGAATGCAGATATCGAGAAGCTGCGGCCTTCTACCAGGTGTTTATCTCGATTATTGTAATCAGAATCTATTGATTTTATTTATTGCATCTATTCCTGCAACTTATTAGGTTTGTAAACTGTCTCTGATATATTTAAAACATGGATTCCTCCACATGCTTGCTGAGTTTTAACTAAGGTAGTCTCTGCTTAGCTTTACCCAGATGATACATCTCCAGAGGCGATGGACTTCAGGATGAAGGCCAAAAGTCTTCTCCACCTCGCTGCTCGGGTTCTCACTGAGCTTCAGGTCCCATTCTGGCTGAGCAGTGGCACTTGTCTTGGTGAGTAATCCAAAAAAGTGTTCCATAACGATTTACTATAAAGCACCCACAAAGGAGCCGTGATTACTTCCGGTTTAAGCGTTTAGGGTAAAACTAACTTCTGCTTCATTTACACCGATCAGGCATAACATTATGACCACCTCCTTGTTTCTACGCTCATTGTCCATTTTATCAGCTCCACTTACTATATAGGTGCACTTTGTAGTTCTACAGTTACAGACTGTAGTCCATCTGTTTCTCTGCATACTTTGTTAGCCCCCTTTTACCCTGTTCTTCAGTGGTCAGGACCCCCATGGACCCTCACAGAGCAGGTACTATTTGGGCGGTGGGTCATTCTCAGCACTGCAGTAACACTGACATGGTGGTGGTATGTTAGTGTGTGTTGTGCTGGCACGAGTGGATCAGACACAGCAGTGCTGCTGGAGTTTTTAAACACCTCAGTGTCGCTGCTGGACTGAGAATCCATTCCAACAGCGTCCTGTGACCACTGATGAAGGACTAGAGGACGACCAACACAAACTGTGCAGCAGCAGATGAGCTGTCGTCTCTGACTTTGCATCTACAAGGTGGACTGACAAGATAGGAGTGTCTAATAGAGTGGACAGTGAGTGGACAGTGTTTAAAAACTCCAGTGGCACTGCTGTGTCTGATCCACTCGTACCAGCACAACACGCACTAACACACCACCACCACGTCAGTGTTACTGCAGTGCTGAGAATGATCCACTACCCAAATAGTCCCTGCTCTGTGAGGGTCCATGGGGGTCCTGACTACTGAAGAACAGGGTAAAAGGGGGCTAATAAAGTATGCAGAGAAACAGATGGACTACAGTCTGTAACTGTAGAACTACAAAGTGCACCTATATAGTAAGTGGAGCTGATAAAATGGACAATGAGCATAGAAACAAGGAGGGGGTCATAATGTTATGCCTGATCAGTGTAACTAGCTACTGCAAGACACAGAGACTGCTTGATGTGAGCAGCTGCAGCAGCAGTAAACAGGGCTACACCACACATACAGCATTTTAGCTCTGTTTAAAGTTAAATCAGTGATTCCATCCACTTCTCATTCTCACTATTTGTCATGACAGTGCAGGAAAACTAACATATGTCTGTTGTATCTCAGTGTTTGAGCATTATAGTACACTACTATAACATTGTCATTGCTTCTGCAGCCCTTTAATGGAGCGGAAGTGAGTTTTACCCTTAACGCTTATACTAGAAGTAATCGCGACTCTTCGTGAAAAGGTCAGTGGGAGCACCGATATTATGTTTGTTTCATTATTTGCTTTTTTCCTTAACTGCAGGCTGGTTCCGGCAATGTAACATCATTCCCTACAGTAAAGATGTGGACCTGGGCATCTGGATCAAAGATTACAGACATGACATCACACAGGCCTTTCAGAAGGCTGGACTCCCTCTCAAACACAAGTTTGGAAAGGTTCAGCACATCTTACTCTTACACTTCTGAGATCCTCAAATAAAGAGCAGTGAAGTGGATTAGTGAGATTCCCGATGTAATTTATTGGATGAAAAATAAAGACATTGTTAAAGATTTTATAGAGGTTTGTATCCTAGAGTTTCAGTCACGTGATTTTCCGGTTGCGGATGCCATATTTGGGACCGAATGTCTGGCTTTGCTGCTCCACGCGAATGTAACTAGAGGAGAAAGACCTTTATCCTTATAGTTTCCCCTGAAGAGATCCTTATAGTTTCCCCTGAACTCCTGATTCCACTTAAACTGATGGAAAGATACCAAATTTGTGTTTTCATGACATTTTATATTGATCTCATACTCAGCCCCTCTCCCTATTCTGGAGGGTCTCTCACAGCATTTAAAATCACAGAAGCCCACCGGCTCTTCACGTCAGGGTGGGTAAAGGATCCCATGATGTTCATAAAGAGCAGAAACACTCTGGTCATCATAGGAGGGTAACGACATCAGCTAATTAACACAGATGAGATCAATGCTGGCCTTTAGAGAACTTTAGCTGATGTTATCAGCCGAGAGATGAACAGTCGCCCCCTAACGGAGCTGCAGACCGCCGGTATAACTTTACTCTCTGTTTCTGATTTAAATGAGGTTTGAATGGAGAAACATAAACGTTAAATATCAGACTGAATGTCGTGGGTCGGAAAATGACGTCGTGTTTCGACAGACGTGATTCTGTAAGTTTGCTGGTTCAGTTAGTTCAGAGTTCAGCTCCAGTCCTGAAACCCCTGCACTGCACAACTGTGGTTTCCTGGTTAAAATACCTGATATTATTAGCTAATTAATCCCTTCTTGAGCTGAACGAGGTGTGAACAGCAGAGAAACACTAACCTATACAGTTCAGGGGCTCCAAGCCTGGAGTGAAAACACTGAATTAAAGGTTTGTGTGTTTCTCGTCTCTCGGCTTCTGTCGCGAAACTGTGCAGTAAAATTGGCAGAAAAAAAAATTTGTTTACTGTAGATAATGCGTTAATTTCACTTAAAAAACCAACAAAACGTGCAAGTTGACCAGACTTTTGCATACGACTGTAGCTAAGAAATCCTGATTCACACACTATTGATGTGTCTCCTGTACAGATAGAGGACAGTCTCGAGCTCTCCTTCCAAGGCCTGGATGTAAAACTGGACATCTTTTTCTTCTATGAAGATGGTGACATTGTTTGGAATGGAGGCACACAGGCAAAGAGCGGCAAGAAATTCAAGTAAGTGAATTTACTTCGTTGGAGAGTGTTGCTTATAGAAATGGGACAATTGCTGCATTTAATCATACTGTGGTATATTACCATTGGCGGCCCAATCCCATTTCACCCCTCGCCCCTACCCCTTAGCCCTCTGTTTTGCCCGTTCACATCTAGGGGTAGGGTGTCCCAATTTTTGTTGAGATAGAGGGGTAGGGCGAAGTGTTAGGGCTAGAGATACAACAAACAGAGTGTTATGAAGGAGAAAAAACAGCAAGGTGGCTGAACAAGGGACCAAAGAAACCCACAAATGTGAGAATTTTTTCTGTTAAAAAATTACGACAACCATTTTTTTTTATCTTAGTTTAATGTCGTTTCAGTGTATTATGATCATTTTATTCATAACAAGCATAAAAAATCGCTAACAGCATGCTAATGTCTTGGTAGCTAGCTAGCTAACGCTCCTGTTCCACCTTAAATAGTTCAGCAGTTCTGACGCCTGAAGCGCCAGAACGTAACTGCTGCTCCATTTAAGGTGGAACGGGAAAATTCGAACAAGAACCTGGTGAATATCTGACTTCAGCTTCATATCACTGAAGATTTAGGGGTGGGTGATAATAAATAATTGCCCCCCTCTTTGAAGGCATATGATGCCCTAAATGTAACTAAAGCCCAGCAGTGAGGAGCTGAACTTTACCCTCCTCTGCTGTCACTGCAGATTGGCAGGGTCGCTTACAGAGCAGCGCTAATAGCTGTTAATGAAGTAATGTTTTTTTTTTAATTTGAGGGACCCATTTCGTAGGGCAAGATTTCAACCATTACCCCTTCTAACTCAGTTCCAAGAGGTCAGGGTGACGCTCGAAAACAAGGGGTAGGGGTAAGAAGAAATGGAATTGGGCCTTAATCATACCAAAAGGGGGGCTAACAAAGTACACAGAAAAACAGATGGACTACAGTCTGTAATTGTAGAACTACAAAGTGCACCTATACAGTAAGTGGAGCTGATAAAATGGACAATGAGCGTAGAAACAAGGAGGTGGTCATATTGTTATGCCTGATCGGTGTATGCCATATCAAAGCTTTATAGCTCCGCTGTTTCTTTTTTCATTTGAAAATGCCAGATGCCTTTTTCATATGATGAAACGCAGTGTGTCTTTTGTTGCTTTGCAGGTACGTATTTCCCCGGTTCAGCCTGTGCTGGACAGAGCTGCTGGAGCTGAAGGTCAGAGTGCCCTGTGAAACCCTGGACTATGTGATGGCCAACTACGGGCCGGACTGGAACGTTCCAGTTAAGGCCTGGGACTGGAAGAGCTCTCCACCAAACGTGCAGGAAAACGGGGTGTGGCCCATCAAGGAGTGGGATGATGTCATCCAAGTGTTCTGAAGCATCACAGGAATAATATAGTTCATTTTTTCACTAGGCTGCTACGTTTACAGTCACACTAAGTTCTAAACTGCTAAAACTGTTTGAATACACTACAGCAACACCGCTAAGGAAAAACTGGATCTTTGAAGGACGTTCCATACATGTGATCATCGACAAACCAAACAATAACGGTGTAATATTTCCCACAGATTGTGCTTTAAAGCAGCGGGTCTCAAATGAGGGGTTCTGGCACTAAAGTAACTGCAGAAATATCTCAGAATTTGCTTTGTCAATTTATTAAATCTACTTCTGCCCTATGTAAAAAAGCCATACAGTGCCCACTTAGTGAGTTAGGTAATGTGCAGAAAGCTAGCAAAATTGACAAATTTGTGGCAAGACAGGGTCCTGGAGCCATATTACAGCAACTTCCTATCTTTTTGTCTTAAGTTAAGATCTGACAGGTCAAGATGAGATTTTTCACAAATTCGTCTTACAGAAGCAAATCTTATTTCAGAGAATCTTACCTTATCTTACAGCATCTTATCTCAAGTTAAGAAATCTTTACTCACTCGATCAAAGTCGACAATCAACTGTCACGTCTGTTACATAGCAACCGAGCAACCGAGTTCAAATAAACTAAAGTCTGATAAACGGTAAGTTGTGAATACTGTGAGAGCGCCCCCTGCTGTTTATCAGAGCGTCGCCGCTCCCCAGTTTCAGTCTTCATTTCCCAAACACTTTAGCCGAGCGCGCTAACGTTACTCCTCCTAATAAACAGACACACGTTCAGCTCCGTCTCCTCATTATTCACCACCATCACTGTAATATTTCATCATCAACATTAACACACGAAGGTAATCAGAGGAGTGGTGGAGATCGAGTCTGCAGCGTCTGAGATCTTTAAAACACAGAGTTAGAAAAGAAAAACATCTCACAGTGAAAGCAGCGTTTTACAGTAGAAATAAATGGAGCTCATTATGCTGGTAGTGAACTATGCTGCTGACACAGCTGCCTAAAAACCATAGAAATGGACCTTAAACAGAAGTGAGGACCCTGTTGGGGTTCATCCTAAAGTTAGGACAGGATTTAGGAGGTTTAGTCTAGGTAGGATGTTTGTGTGATGCTGTTTTCTTATCTGGAGTTAATGATGAGATTATGAAGTCAGGAACTGTTATTCTGTAATAGCTATTGAACTAAATTCAGTCCTAACTAAAGTCGTCACGGTGACTAAGCAGATAAGAGAAGATTTCAGACTTAAGAAGTTCCTGTGATATGGCCCCTGCTCTGTAAAGTAATATTAGTGATTGGGATGGGGGCACCTTACTTCTGGCAGAAGTACAGATATGACCCATGTCCTTCATTCCCCCTTGGGAATAGCCATACCACAGCATTGACCATTGTTAAAGGAGTACTCCAGTGTTTTTCAAACTAATCTTATGGATCTGTAGTATAGGGTCGATTACCATGAACAGTAGTTTTGACATGAAACAACGGGAATGAAGAAGTGCTACAGAGGTCCCAAAAATGAGGCAAAAAAGCAGGTGCTCCTTGGTGAATGGGTGCAGAAAACTAAAAATCCATCCACGTCCACAAGGCATGTGCAACATAAATCCCAGAACAAAGAAATTCCAAAAAAAAATTGACCGCATGCTGCAAATGTGGCAGAGATTAGGATGTTAAACAGTGGATTGTTCCTAGGGAAAATGTTACTGGTCACATTAGTGATGTATATATGTTTTCAATCGTGATCTGTAGCGCTGTCTTGATGACAGTGCTGAGGTGACATTAATTTGAAATTGACTAGTTTAACCTGTACAGAGACGTGTGGCTGTCCAGTATTCCAGTGTTCGTGCATTGAGTGCTCGTGGAGAATGAGTCTAATTTAACTACAAAACTGACTTACTACTGACATTTCCTTTTGTTTCTAACCATTAAAATCTCCTGAATATGACTGAACAAGTTATATGACTTCCTCAAGTGATTTCAAACAAAAGTCCAATAGTTTCACTTCTTTCTTTAAGAATGTAGCACAAAATTATCTCCTCACTTAATACAATCCTACCCACATGCACTGGCAGTTATTGCTATATAAAATGCTGTCACTATTTAAAGGGGGATTTTAGCCTGAAACTGGCATTTAATATCGTATTTGTCATGTTATGTAATATTATGTAGTGCAGCATTGTATCCATCAGCCTCATCAGTTTGACAGAATTAATGATTTTGTATCTTTCTTGTGTTTCTGACCAACAGTGTTCTCTCACTACAATACCCAGCATGCTACTGATGTAGAAGCTAATAAACACAGACATGACGTTCAGCTTCCTAGCAGCAACATTAGCTGTCTGGCTTTCTTCTGCATTAGCCATCTAGCAAAAACAAAATCACAGCCCATCTTCAGGTATCTATGGTAGGACAGAGTTTTAGAGCCACTGTTAATAAAAATAAAAATAGTAGACTTTAAGAATAAAGTTGTAATATTTCAAGAAAAAAATTATGACATTAAAGTGGCAGTAATACCAGGAAATGTTGCAGTATTGTAGCCAAGCTTTGCAAAAGGAAGGCAGCACCTCCTTGTGTTAAATGAGAGGTGGTGAGGAGTTGGTGGAGTTATACTTTCATATCAATTCACCCATAAAGTCTTCCTGTCTCTCCTGCACATCGGCCTGTTATTAGTATAAGAAACGGCTGAGCAGGAAACTGTGTTTGTCTAGAATAAAGAGCCAGACGGACTCGGGGGAAACTGTCTGTCTGTGTTGTTGAAGGAGAATCGCAGGCAGGGTCGTCTACACGGCTATCGGGGGCTCCATCTCCGCGCCATTCAAAAAGGGCATGAAGTTTCACAGACAGTGAGACTGATAATCAAAATGATTGATACACACAGAGACAGGAGAGAGTGGAGCTCCGGCACCAATACAGCAACCAAGACCCCAACGCGTTATGGCAGCCCCCCTACAGCTAGCCCACTTTATCCTTGAAAAAGTATGACTTTTTTTCTAAAAAAATTAGCCTTTTTCTCGAAATATAACTTTTTTTCTTGCAATATTACGACTTTTTTCCTTGAAATATTACGACTTTGTTCTAGAAGTCTACTATTTTTACTTTTATTAACAGTGGCCCTAAAACGCCGTCGTAACAGAGCATCTAAAGGGACATGCGGAAGAAAAATGACCAGGATTTTTCTAAAAACGTGCCTGTGAAATTACCTTTTTTTAATTTTTTTTTAAGTTAATATATCTTGATATAATTATCTTGAGATAATCTGAGAAAATAATCTTGAGATTCATAGGGAAAGCAAGCGCATTACCCACTCCGCCCTGTAGATGGCACCAACACGCCAGATAAACCCGATGACTCTGCTGTAATCACGGATACTGGCCGCGCGTTCCTCAAATCTTCATCAACCAGTGTCAATCATGTGGTAAATGACATAATCGCAAGCGACACAAAAACTGCTCATCCAATAACCTAAGAAATTAAAAGAGCACAAACATTTCTTTTAACAGCACAAACGAATAAAGACCACGTTTGTGCGGGGGCGGAGTGACGTCACAGATAACAAAACGTTTAATTTCTCAAAAACGCTGCCAGCACACGGCGTCTCAGCGGAGTGATGCAGTGTTTGTGAAACAAAGTGCTGTTACGGTAAAATAACAGCACGGTTAGAACGCCTCTCAACCAATCAGCTTGCGCGGCCGGAACTAACTTGTATAATTAGGGTTATTATAACTTAAAAGGTGCTACTGTAGTTCTCTGCTTGTTTAAACAGTCGTTATAGTATTTCCTACTCACTGTGTCTTCTTATCAGCTTCTGAGCAGAAAAAAAAAATGCTGATACAGATATGAAGCTAAAAGACTCCTGCCTTGTATTACTTGTGAAAACACTGCAGAGGTAAACCTTAAAATATAATGTGAAAAAAGTATGCATGAATATATAGGTCACCTCATAGTCACACTTCCCCCCGCCCAAGCCTTTCCCATCAATTAAAACCCTTGATGTCAGTGTCTGTACTGCTTGCGACTGGTCATTCCCCTCACTTTGGAGCTTCGGCATTTTTATGGTAGGTCAAAAGCAGCATTTCCCCTAACATTAGATAGTCCTTATGACAATAACGATAATATATCCAAAGTATTAAGCCTAAACTGATAGGTTGTTCGCTTGAGCTTTATCTCAGTAAGAACAAAGAGCTGAGAATAACTATATGAAAAGAGCACAAAACAATATTTTTCAACAACAATATCAAAAAAATATTGGACATCAGGTTAACCTTAACATAATGTGATGTGTGCTTACTTGCTGTGGAAAGTGGGAAAGCAACATCTATCAAATCTGGAGAGCGTTGACTTCTGGACGGACTCCTGTCTCCTCCACTTCTATTAAAAATAAATAAATAAATAGATAAAAACCACACAGCAGGGTAAGCTTAATACTGTTTCTTTAATCTCCAGAGATGTTAACGATATTAGCCATACTTTGCTTTTTAGATATGCTAATGGTCGCAAAATATGGCAGCCAAAACAGAAAAATCGAGTGACTGAAACCCCTGAATTATCACTTTACCTAGACTGACGGGGTCTGCCACCAACCACTCTGAGGGGGGCTGCTGGCTGCTGGATGGACTTCTTCACAGAATAAGGATTAAACAGCTGTGTTTGGGCCGTAAGAGTGAGGATCTATGTGCCATGTTGCCAATTATTTTTAGTTGTAAATTTGTTATTGGTTTCATTCCATGCGCATAAATCCCTATGAAATTTCAGCTTCTTGTCCATTTACTTTTATGCACCATTACTCCTTGTGCCATATTGCCAGGTACGTCTGAAACTGTAAAAAAATAATAAATCTAATCACACTGAATTCAGATTAGCTTTAAATCTAACTCAGCTTGATTTATTTTCTTCAGTCTCATACTTTAAACTACCTGCAATTAAATTAGACGATGGAAATGAATTAAAGGAAATAAGGAGCCAAACGAATCGGAAGCTGCGAATAAGTAACTAACTTCAGCCTCATTATATCGATCTGAACCAGAATACACAAATGACTTGCAGCAGCTCGAAAGAGAGAGAGAGAGACTGAACACACCGGGGCCGAAGCAGAAGAACCCAGGGTGAATGGAAATTGACGGTGTCAACAACAAACTACTTGCTACTCTGCTCACCAGTTTATGGGATAGGACAGTGAGGTGTAATTGTGATCTATCACAGCTCCTCTGATGAATAACCTTACTCACATGAGCTCTGAGTTTTGCTGACTGTGTGATGCAACACCGCCAACCCAAACAACACGAAAGGCATGCAGGGCGGAGAGGTACATACAGGGCGTTGTAAGGAAAAAATAGTACACATTTAGTGCGAATTTAGCACTATTTTACCATTATCAGCGTGACATATAAAACCTTTTAAGACACATGTAAGTTGAGCACAAGGAAAATATACAAAACCAGACAGAATAGATACACATTGCAAAGGAGAAAGTTCAAACAGCCTTGCTGGAAATGATGTTTACAACACAGTCAAACACAACAAGCAGGGAGGTACCGATACAGCCCACTGAAAACGAGAGAAAGGAGGTTTAAAAAGAGGAAAAAACAGTCAAGTAAAGCATACAGAGCACAAGAGAAGTTAAGAAAGGACAGAGATATGGATGTATACAGTTTTTTAACCTTTCTATATTTTTCACATATTTTACAGTGGCTTAAAATAGTTGGACAAGTATGTAAGACTGCAGCGATGGAGGGAGTACAGCCACTCACCAAGTGTGTATATAATATTTACCCAAAATAATCACAAGAGTCACAGTGTCTGAAATGTTAGTATCCATATTGTCCTTAAAGTAGATCGTATCACTGCAAGTAAAAGGAGGAATGTTATCCATTTTTAATGATTACCAAGTACGATTATCAGACCAAAACACATGAACATATGAGCATTTAAAATTAGATGGTAAGTAGTTTCAGCCTCTGTAGAACTAAAGATGCAAGGATCCACTTCAAATATAAATCTTTACTGTTAAAAATCACTAACTATATTACTGATGCTATTTTAAAATGGGCTTCTTTAACTTTAGGAGCAACAGGACATGTTATATAAAAGGCTTAAAGGAGCCTCTATATTATAACATACAAAGTATAAATTAAAGTTCCCCAAACTTTCTCTTTGAAAACCAAACAAAGTTTTCTATTATCATTAAGTTATCTATTTCTATTGTTTGCTTTTGTCAAGCAAATTAACATCACCAACTCTTAGAGGAGCACAATCGGAGAAAAACACACACTAGCCACGTTTACGTGCAGCCTAATAATCCGTTAATAACCTGACTAATAGTTCAAACGTCCATGTAAACACCTCAATCGGAATAGACCAGTCAGATTAAGGCCATTCGGAATAAACTTTCTATCCGATTGATCAAGGTGGGTAATCCTGTAAATAATCCATTAAATAGAAGAATAATATCGGTGTAAACGCCTGTATCTGATTACATTCCCTATCGGAAAGTTTAAGTACGTTCTGACCATGTTCATCGCGTCATAGTGAAAGTTTATACCGTTCAACATGGCGGAGCAGAAACTGGTCTGCAGAGGAGACGAAGTTTATGCTCTGATCTTTAAAAGACGGCGGTGGGACGGATGTCCAGCTTATGTGTCTCAGAACACGACGTCTTCCTCTCGGCCTTCTTTAATAAGGACATGTGAAGGACGTTTTCCTGAGTCTAACATCATTCATACATCATCTAAACCGCGAGTCTAACATCATTTTAAAGTAATTAAAAACACAAGCGCTGCTCACTGCTGCTCGTCTCATTCTGACTGGATTCGCGCGATGCTCATTGTCATGGTAACGTCTACACTAAGTGGTTCTCTACATCTACCCGTAATTTTAGATCAGATTACTTGTAGTGAGCATGTAAACGGAGATTTTCCATCAGATTGTTGAGTAGAGTGAGATATAAACAAAGTCTTAATCTATAATCTGAATGTATTCAGTTGGACTGGTGAAAATCTGCTTGGTATCATTCGAGGTGATAGGACAGAAACTGCTTTGCACATTTTGTCATACCCTTTTTCTTGAAATAGTAATTTTATACTTTCTGGTAAAATCTTTGAAGGACAATAGGAGACCATCTCAATAAATCAGAAACAAATGTTACTCCACTGTCATAACAGTCAGCTTCAAAAATGGATTTTCTATTAACGGTAAAAACCCTGTAGTTTTACAGTAAAGAGCTGTGTGTTGAGAAAGTGTGGGTAAATATATTTACCATAATGTAAAGCTTGTTTGTGGAAGTCAGAAAGTTACGGTCACTTTCTGGTGGGCTAAATCAAACGTCCTCACGGGCCTCACATTGGGCAGCTCTGGTCTAAATTGTTTATCCCTCTTTATAAATTTACATACATTTTTAGTTTATTTTATGGCTTGGATTCTTGTTTACTTTGTATTTTTACTAATATTTTTGTATTATAATTGTTTGTCTCTCTTTTTTTGCTTATTAGTTTTGGGCATTTATATGCATTTAATATTAATTTGTGTGCATGCATAAAGACACTACTTACTATCACAGATACCCCAAAACAAGATTTCTTTTTTGGCTCTAGATGTTTATTATTAACAATGTTTATGTACAACATCAAACTCTTATTCCAAAAAAAGCGAGTAAAATTCATGTCCACAGAATTTTTGTGGAACAAATCATATATACCAAATCTGATTTAGTTCCTATTTAACAACATAAGACGATGTTTATGATGAGGTTAGTATTGTTAACGAAAACCACTGAAAATGGAAGCTATCAGTGAAAATCAGTACTCATTAACTATAATAAAAATACAACCAAAAGATCTGAAAAACATGAAAACTAAGCTTTAGTTTTTGTGTTTTCACTGCATGGAGGACAGTTAAGAAGTGGATTTCTTCTATGCTAAACCCAGTAGATGGAGGTGGAGACGGCTTAAAGGAAATCTGTCAAACTGGCTGAATATAAAGTTCTACTGTGCTGATTTCGGTTTGCAAAAACAGCAAAATTCCTTAGAAAGAAACAAATATCCATCATAACGCTAAAAACCTAAACTAAAAGTTAAAGTAAATAAGAACTAAACTAAAACTATTGCTTTTCAGGAAATAAACGCTCAAACTATTAATGCACTCATAAGACCAACCGAAACTGAGCTAAAACTGCAAATCAAACCGAAATGAAAATAATAAGTGCTGAACATTTCAGGGGTACAATAACTCTGTTTTACCTGGAGTCACACAGTTTAACTGTTCCCAAAACAACCCAGAACCCAGCGTAAAGAGGCTGAGTGAATGTGGTGTGGACGGTGTGTAGGAGGGTCATTGTGTCAGAGACACTGTAGAAGGACAGAATTCCTGCACTGTGATCCACATACACTCCTATTCTGGAGGACAGTGGGGCTGAGAGTGCAGTCTTAATCTTGTTGTGTTGGAAAGTGAGAGTTGGAAAACACTGCAGACTCCAGGACTGATTGTTGCGTCCAAACACACACTCATCACCCCATCCTTTCCTGCTGATTCCTTTATATGAGACAGATGTGGAGACAAACCTCAATTCCGCTTCGCTCCACTCAACCTCCCAGTAACAGCGTCCAGTCAGACTCTCCTTACACAACACCTGACACACTGAGTCAAATCTCTCTGGATGATCAGAGTGACGCTGTGATCCCCATCTCCACCTCACCACTCTGTTCTCCTCAGAAAGGCAGAGTTTACGATTTACTGTGCTGGGATCCAGAGTCAGCTGACAGAAATCTAAAAAAAGAAAAACTGGTTCTTATTCATAAATTAAAATGTACAGATTCTAAAAGACAAACACACCTGGACTGAGATACATTCACACTAGTGCTGAAACATTCAACATCATCAATAGTGATGACAAATATTTCTGTGGCCATGTGAGCAAATAGAAAAACAACCTGATCACTGAAAACTGTTCTATATAGAACTCATGGTCCTAAATAGGACCATTGCCTTGGTCCTACCTACCTTTTTTTAAGTGTGTACAACATATGAAAGCCTGACTTGCTAAGTTTTCCACAGAAGCACAACGTTACCTTCGATCACAGCACAAGAGAACATGCTGGTGTCGAAGCAGCAGAACGGTCAGTAAATGGACAAAGCTAAAGTTAGCTTAAAAATAATGGCAGTGCAGTTCACAATTACTTGCATAACACAAATCAAGTGGCTGACCAGTTACCCTGAAGAGCTAGAGCATTAATCTACGTATTTATTATTACATCACTTATTTATAGCCATTGCTAATTATTACTGTAGCTTAAAATTACAAGCAAGCTTAGAGAAAGTGCCATGTTTTTTTACCCTGGCGGTAATTTAGCTCAGATTTATTCAGTTTGTCAGAACATTTTACTGTCATAGCTCTGAATTTACAGGCTACATTAAAGCCCATTAATCAGTCATTATTAGTAGATTCATTCACATGAATAATTAACTATAAAAATATTGCAGCCCCAGTATTTTACAGTTTGTCCAACGTCTACCAACAACACAAAATGCACATTAATGGTTGAAAAAGCATGTGTGATTTACACATACACTGCAGAAAATCTTCTCTGGTCTTTGGCGCTGAAGGTGAAATCACTCGACCTGCAGCAGCTGTGGAACCTGAAACAAAAAGGTCAGACAGACTGAGTGAGACAGACCCCCCACTCTCCACCCAGACAGAGAGAAGAAAGCAGAAGATCTACAGTAAAGCAGTGGTGGTGGTATGATTGTGGTACAAGTCCAACAGGCACGTATGCCAGTGGCTCACCCAGGATAACTTCCCAAATGTCCTCAACACAAAACAGAAGGTTTCACTTTTGATGTATGAGGGAAAATCTGCAGTAGAACATGAAGGGTTTAGTTTTCACAGCTCCGTCACATAATTTCACCCCTGCAGTTACTGCAGCATAAGCTTTATTTCTGTTAACAGCTCCAGCAAATGATCATCATCATCAGCAGCAGCAGCGTCATCATTAACCGCTTAATCCAGATAGGGTCGCGGTAGCAGTTGGGAGAGCAGATAATCACAGACGACCGTGTCCCCTAGAACTCTGGGACCCCCAGCTGCTCAAAGGCCAGCTTGGAGATATAATCCTTCCAGCAGGTCCTAGGACGACCTAGGGCTGGGCGATATTGCAAAAAAGTAAAATCTTGATTATTTTCAAATTTATTAGCAATTCTTGATTCCGTTGCATAATGCCATTGAAAAAAGACATTTTCTTCTTTGTACTTTAATTTAAAAGATAGTACTTTAATGCAAAAAATAGTAACAGCACCACCTATAATTATTAAATTGTGCAAATAGGGGTTACTTTTAATATCCTTTAAATATCCTCTTGCAGCTGGGCGAACTCCGCGGACGAAGACGCTAAGCGACAGTGCCTGTGATTGGTCGGTAAAAAAAAGAGGCGTGCCATGAAACAAAGATGGACAAATTTGAGGAGCTTCGGCTTCAGCAGACACACTCATATTTCACTGTGAAACGTGTATTTGTTAAATAAACAATGAATATCTCCTAAATGTAAGATGCTAAGTCTGTCATTCAGTAGTACTGACTAGTACTGAGCTCCAAAACATATATGTTATCTTATATTTAGGTTCACAAGAGGACGAGGCTGAAGCTGGCTTTGTATTCACCGACTTCTTTTTTTGAATTTCCCCGTTCCACCTTAAATGGTGCCAGTATTCTGAACTCAGATGTCACCATAGTTAGAACAGTGAAAGAATCGTGTTCCAGCGGTCATGAAACTTATCATGAAATGTCACAGCGCCACGTGGAGCTTCCGCGACAGGCAAACGCAACCACAGAAAGTAGGCAAACTTGTAAGCTCACGAAGGCACTTTCGGCTTTGCACAACCCTTGAGAATTTCGTTTCACAAGAAGTACACCGAGGCCTTAACAACGTTCCCAGCCGCACTGAAAACTCGCTCATTTTCATCGCGTTGTTTCACTCGTTGCTCCCATTCCACTGGGTGTGATTCGTCGTACTGCTACATTTGGTTGCAACTGTCTTTCAACACAACTTGCTCTTTACATGAATTTGTTCAACATCTGGTTTTCAAATCCGTACCAGTTCCACACCTCTGAACTGATTTCCACCTTTCTTTGGTACGAGCTCACTTTTCTGCGAAGTGCCGCTGGCCTCCATCTTGGAGTGTTTGTGTGTTTTTTTTCTACCGTGCGTGGCTGAGGTCAGTGCAAAGACCTGTGAGAGGCGGAGTTTTTTAATTTAAGATGCGTTTTTCATACATCTTGTCATACATCTTGTTTTTGTTGGTATTTTAATTAAAATACAAGCAATGTAAACTTGTACAATCTTGATTGTCACATTTCTAACATCGTGTAAAAACGTTAATTCGAATTAACCAAATTAATCGTGAAAATCGTTCAGCACTAGGACGAGCCCGGGGTCTTGTAGGCCGTGCCTGGTACACCTCCACTGGGAGACACCTAGGGCCGAAGCACCTCAACTGGCTCCTCTCAATGCAGAGGAGTAGCGGCACTAATAGCCCGACACCCTGCGAGGAAAGCTCATTTCCACCGCTTGTATTCGTGATCTCATTCTTTTGGTCATTACCCACAGCTCATGACTATAGGTGAGGGTCGGGATGTAGCCCTCTTCACCACTACAGACCAGTACAGTGACCGCATTACTGCTGCCGCCTGTTCCAGCCTGCAGCTAATTTCACGATCCCTCTTCCCATCACTGGTGAACAAGACCCCAAGAAGACACTCCTCCACCTGGGGCAGGTCCTTTCCCCCTACCTGGAGTATGCGATCCTTTTCCAGGCTAGGACCATGGACTTAAAATTGGAGGTGCTGATCCGCACACCAACCGCTTCACACGCTGCAAACCACTCCAGTGAGCACTGGAGGCATCCATCCATCTGTAAAAAACCTTGGTGTAATGATAGACCCTGATCTGTCCTTCGACACACATATAACCAAAATTACTAGAACAGCCTTCCTGCATCTCCACAATATTGCTAAATTGAGAAATGCATTTTCTCTACAGGATGCAGAAAAGTTAGTTCATGCATTTATTACTTCAAGGCTAGATTACTGTAATGCCCAGCTGGCTGGATGTCCCAGCAAAAGTCTTAACAAGCTTCAGCTGGTCCAGAACGCTGCAGCTAGTCCTTACTAGAACCAGAAAGTTTGACCATATCAGCCCAGTTTTATCAACCTTACACTGGTTACCAGTTAAATTTCGCATTGATTATAAAATTCTCTTACTGACTTATAAAGCTCTAAACGGACTCGCCCCTCAGTACCTGAGTGAACTTCTCTCCTACTATGAACCATCACGCCTACTTAGATCACAAGGTGCTGGCTTACTATTAGTTTCTAGAATTAATGAAGTTACGTCAGGGGGGAGAACCTTCTCATACAAAGCCCCCCAGCTTTGGAACAGTCTTCCTGTTAATGTTCTGGACTCAGTGTTTAAGTCTAGGCTAAAAACTTACTTGTATAGTCAAGCCTTTGGTAATTAGTTTGCCCTGTCGGTTCTATACCTGCCAGAGTCTCTGCTGCTCTGCTAACACTGTAATCTGTGATCAGTCTCCCATTACAGAACTGACTCTCTGTGTGTTTTTCCTTTCTTTCTTTTCTTTGCTGAGTTGAACACCTGCCCATCCTGTGCGTTCTGATGCTGCTGCCTCTTCTGATGCTGCTGCCACTGCTGCCAGCCCTCTGGACCGGCTTGACCACCATTGAACTTCATGCTGTACAACGCTGTGCAACCTCACCCTCACAACCTGACCCCACTGATGCTGCTGCTGCATGAACTAAACTAATCAAATTAATCATTTGCTCCACCTGTTTTCCCTGTTTTTGTACTATAATACTTTATACTAACAATGTTTACTATCCGGTGTCGACCAGAGGAGGATGGGTTCCCCTTCTGAGTCTTGGCTCCTCTCAAGGTTTCTTCCTGTTCCCTTAGGGAGTTTTTCCTTGCCACTGTCGCCATTGGCTTGCTCATGGGGGCTTGGACCCGGATTTCTTTCTGTAATGCTGATTTCTTTGTAATGCTGCTTTGTGACAACACCTGTTGTAAAAAGCGCTATATAAATAAACTTTGCTTGCTTGCTGACCTCGGCTGCACCTTGATACCCTGTCCATGAATATCACAAATAGGAGCAGAGACAAGGCACAAACTTGGCGGAGTCCAACGCTAACACTGAACGGGCCTGACTTTATGCAGAGTGTACAAACAAACTCTCACTCCAGGAGTACAGAGATTGAACGGCCCGGAGTAGTAGCCTCGGCACCCCATACTCCTGGAGGACCTCCCACAAGACATCTCGAGGAACACAGTCACAAGCCTTTTTCAAGTCCACGAAACACATGTAGACTGGGTTGGCAAACTCCCATGCCCCCTCAACAATCTGTGAGAGGGTGAAAAGCTGGTCCATTGTTCTAAGGCTGGGACGGAATCCGCATTGTTCCTCCTCAATCTGAGGTTCGAGCTGTAAGCATTTCTGGGCGAATCTCATCCACCCCCGGTGCCTTGCCACTGAGGAGCAGTGACCTCTAACATGAGCATTGAAGTCTCCCAGCAAGACTATGGAGTCTGTAGGCAGGGCCCTTTCCAGAACCCCACCCACTCGCTCCAAGAAGGCAGAATACTGTGACCTGTTGTTTGGTGCATAAGCACACACAACAGTCAGAGTTTTCCTCTCTGCGATTTTAATTTGCATTGAGGCGACCCTCTCGTCCACCAGGGGAAAATTCCAACTGCAGGGTAGCCAGCAGGGGACTTGTGAGTATCCCCACACCTGCCTGGCGCCTCTCACCCTCTGCAACTCCTGAGTAGGAGAGGGACCAACCCCTATCAAGGAGTTTGGTTCCAGAGCCGAAACTGTGGGTGGCGGTGAGCCCATCTACATCTAGTTGGTACCTCTCAACCTTGCGCACAAGCTCCGGCTCCTTCCCACTAGTGAGGTTACATTCCACGTACCAAGAGCCAGTTTCCGCCGCAGGAGTCTATGCCACCAAGGGCCTCCCTGCCATTTCCCACTGCCTATATGGCACTGCACCGGTCCCCCATGCTGGACCTTGCGGGCGGTGGGCCCACATGGTCCCCCCATGTTCAAACTTAGGTTATATGAAGTGTTTCATCCTGGACTGCTTTTTAAATGAGACACAATACACAGCAGCCAGCCAGAACAGAGCTCATTTACATATAAAAAAGGTACTATTTTTGTGGCCCCTGTCTCTGTGGCCCTTGAAATTCTCCTAATCCACCGCCACACTTACACTTATTACACTTATTATAATTAAAAAGAAAAATTACCTTATTCGCTTTTTTTTACTTTGAGGTAATTTTGAGCATCTCAGTTTAGTATTTAAAAAAGTACACTTTATTATGATTTTCTTTGGTCTATCAGTGATGAGGTAAAGAATTCCATGCTTTTCTCAGAAGGAAGCTCCTCTTACTCTGTGCAGGGATTTGACTGAATTCCTTCTTAAATTGCTCTAGACGCTCTTTCAGATCAGAGAGAGATTTCCTCACTCCATCAAATGACTGCTGTGGACGGACAGTGAAGCTGGACAAGGCCTCAGATCCAGAAGAGACACAGAGAGACTGGAAACTCTACAGAGAGAAGAAAAAATAGAGTAATCAAACACACTATATGTCCAATCCTGTCCAGACAGTCCTTCTAATGAGTGAATTCAGCTTTGAGATGCACTCATTACACCCATGAGTCTAAGGTCACCATGTCCAGTGCCAAGCGTGAGCTAGAGGATATAAAGTGGAACTGCGCTCTCTGGAGTGATGGAGCTTCATCCAATACCTTTGGGATGAGTTGGAGTGATCCAGAACCGACCATCCAACATCAGTATCTGACCTCAATAATGCTCAATCAAATCCTCACAGCAACGTTCCAATATCTAGATTAAAGCCTTCCCAGAAGAGTAGAGGCTGTTACTGCAGCACAAACTCACTATTAACACCTTCATTTCAGAAGAAACGCTGGACGTCTACAAACCTTTGGACGTATAATGTCTCTCAAACCAAATCAGATGAGTGACAGTTACCTGGAGGAAATGGATGTGATCCTCAGTTTGTGAAAGCTGCTCCAGCTCAGTGTTTCTCCTCTTTAGATCAGCAATCTCCTGCTCCAGGTTCTCCAGCAGTTCTTCAGTTTGACTCAGCTCAGCCTTCTCCTGAGCTCTGATCAGCTCTGTTACCTCAGAGCGCTTTTTCTCGATGGAGCGGATCAGCTCAGTGAAGATCTTCTCACTGTCCTCCAGTGCTGCCTGTGCAGAGTGCTGTTAAGATAGACAGATAGAGAGAGAGAGAGAGAGAGAGAGAGACTGTGACTGTTTCACATTTTTTCTCTAATCCAACTCCCAGTTCTGCTGTACACTCTTAAAAAGATTTTTTGGTACTATATAGATTTTTTCACCGAACTGCAACCTTTCAGACGGGACATGACAATGTTGAGCACTTTTTGCAACGTCACAGAACACAAGTCTGAAGTCCACAGATCTCCACAGAGTCCACAGATCTGCAGCTCACAGCTCACCTTAATAGTGTTCACAGCCTGTTTCAGCTCCTGTAGCTCCTTCTCCTTCTCCTGGAGTCTCTGCTGAAACCTCCTCTGTAGCTCCTTTAGCTCACTCTGAGAAGAAACACATTATACTGCGTATACATCAGAATATGTTTCACATTAGATTTTGTTTGTCACAGCTAAACAGGGGTTGTTAGTAACCCAGTTCCATTTTCAAGTACTTTCTTGACAGGTTTATGCACGTAAGATTTTTGCTGTACTTCATCTTCACTCAGCTGTAGTGATTTAACTTGACCAAAAATGATAAACAGATAACTTAAAGACCAAGTGCACTTTGCTTGCTAAAAACAGTATAATTAACAACGCTTCCCTGGATACTCTTCTCATAATCTTGAAATACAGCGGTCGCAGGAAAAATAAGGTGGACAGGAGAGCTCGATACTTAAGTATCTGTTTTTGGAATGGTTCTTTTACTTTTTACTTTTACTTTTAGGCTACTCAACGCCTCTGCTAAACAGTAAAATTTCACTTTGCTCCAAAGAGAGTTACCAAAGCTTAAAATTAAAGATTATTAAAATGAAGAGGTTGGACACCCCTGTTCTACAGCAAACATGTAATTGACATAGAACCTTTACATTATGTAGAATTATTATGTAGTATTAAAGAGATCTTTAGAGAACTAAAAGTGCAACTTTTAAGGCCACGATGCAGCACAAAGCACATCTATAACATAGATTAAAACTTTAAACATAATGAATTTATCACATTTGATATCAGCAAACTAGCTGCTCAACTCAATGTTTTCCAGTTTTAAGTTGAAAAAAGTTAGCAATGTTAGCTGCTAGTGTTAACAGACCTCACTGCTAGATAAAATATGCATATGTCGTGTTTGGCATGCTGGTATGCTGGTTGACCAGCTAAACCAGCCCCTGATCAGCACTCGACCAGCATGGAATGCATGTTGGTCTGTGCTGGTCTTTTCAGGGCAGTTTCAGGACAGGGACAGTTTTGATTGCATTTGCGATTAAAATATATTCTGTGCAAAGATATTCATTCACTTGCAAGTGTGATTGTTTGTATTGTTATCACCTGGTTTTTCCTAATCAGTGAGAGAAACATACTAACCGGAGACTGCAATAAGAGACAATTCACTAACTTACTGTGTATTATGTTACTGTCCTACCACAAAACATAGCTAGCTTGCTTGGTGCCAAGGGTGTTATGTCAAGAATACGGACACATTGTCAAGGAAGCTGTGCACGGCTGTTTCTCCTGGTAAGCTAACAATGATAAGTGCATTAACGTATAGGTGAGTTTATGCTTGAGCATAAAGAATCTTGACATGTCGTCCACCAAGTAGAAAGACCCTGTTTAGAGGATGATGAGCCACCCTCATCATCTAAAATGTCACCAGTTATGGCCAGTGTTAGCTCACATGCTAGCACAGCTGACCACCTTCTTAGCCAACACAAACATTTATCGGTTACAACCCACCGGCACTAGTACTTATAAAAGTAAGTGTAGAGCCCTGACTATAGGTATTGTTTAATTTAGTGCAGTAACTGTAAAATGCTGAGTAGTGTGCTGTGGTGCTAAGAGAAATTGAACAGTGAGTGTGTTCACATGCACTCAATAATTCGATCAAAGCAGTTATCTGATTATTCAAATAGTCATGTAGACAGCACACTCTGATTTCTTAGATCAGAGTAAGCGCTAGAAATCCGATTAAGAGATCCGATAAAGAGAGCTAGATTTTAGCTCAGTAATCAGATTTCTCAGTGCATGTAAACTCTTACTCTGATTTCTTTCGGATTTCTCAGTCTGCGCATGTGCAAAACAGACGGTGGTACCAGAAATAAGTGAGCAGCGTTTCTGCAAGACGCAGCAAAACACGTTTGGAGTGACTCTGAAACTGATTACATGCTTGACGAAATTTAAGATTTAAATTTGTTACTTCTAGATGTGTATGTTACCTCTCACCTGTTTCTGGGTTCTTTCTGCTACAGCTGGAACTGTATCGTGACCTTTGTGTTCATGCATCGTACACAAGTAGCAGATACAGCTCTGGTCAGTGCGGCAGTAGATCTCAATCAGTTTGTCGTGTTGAGAGCAGATCTTCTCTTGTAGCTGACCGGACGCCTTGACCAGCCTGTGCTTTTTCAAAGCAGGAACTTCAAGGTGAGGCTTTAGATGATCTTCACAAAAGGAGGCCAAACACATCAGACAGGATTTGACAGCTTTCAGTTTTCTCCCAGTGCAGAAATCACACTCCACATCTCCAGGTCCAGCAGGAGGAGCAGCTTGACGGTCTATCTTCAGTTTCTCCAACATTTCAGCTATAAAGTAGTTTCTGCGTAGAACAGGCCTCGGAGTGAAGGTCTCTCTGCACTGGGGGCAGCTGTAGACCCCCCTCTGATCCTCCTGATCCCAGCAGCCATTAATGCACAGCATACAGAAACTGTGTCCACAGGGAACGGTCACTGGATCATTTGGCAGATGCAAACAGACTGGACAAATGAACTGGTCCTGATCTTCTGAAATACCGGCTTCTGCCATTTTCCTGGGTCAGCCTGAGAGAGAGAGAGAGAGAGAGAGAGAGAGAGCAGCAGTCTCAGATCAGTTTTCTTCCCTCTGAACTGAGAGACTTCCTGGCTCAGTGTTCCTTCAACTATGAGAGAGATAAGGAGGAAGAGGAGGTGAAAGAGGATGAGAAGGAGGAGAAATGGCAAGCAGTTTCACTTTTTAATCCATGAGAATTCATGGCTGAATTGATGGGAGGAAGAGTTTTTTACTAGTGTGAATTGGCATATGGTACCTCAAGTTTTACAATTAAAATTCAATTCTAACATATTGAAATTCTGATTATTACATGTTCAAATTGATTTCAAATTGATGGAGAAAATTTAATTGTGTGCAAATTGAATTATTTCATGTAAATATAGAAAACTTTTTTATACGTACCAGTTCAGTTTTCAGTGGTAATAAATCTTGTCTGAATTGGTGCCGACAAAACAGAATACAAATAGTACACAAACAACATAAATAAATGTACTCTGCAATCAACATAATATGCAATGCTCACTGGAAGTTCATCATCAAACATTTAAATTCATTTGAAGTTGAAGAGCAGAATGCACTACTGTGACTAATAGAGTATTTTATAAATAATCCCCATTGACTCTTTGTTAGACATATTATGCCCTGTTAGGGGTCATGAGCCAGTATTTTAAGACTTATGTAAAGCACTAACCTGCTAGAAAAATCAGCATGGACCCCTATAGCCGGACACCATCATAACTGACGTGTTTTGGAAGCTGATAAGGTGGTCAACGTGAAAAACCAGCTTAGATAAGCATGGAATTCAAAGTGCGTCTCATCTAAGTTACACAACTGGCCGCTCACGGTGCAGAGAGAGACAGCAAGGAGCTGAAATTTTAAATGTAATCATACCCACCCTCAGCTATGTTAGCCTCATGGAGCAACAGCTAGCCATGCACACTCTGCAATGCTTTTGAACATTGTGTACATCAATTCTGTGAATTATTGCTTTATCTGGCTATAACCAGTGATGAGATGCCTTTATTTTTTTTGCTAGCCTTTAGCATGTTAACCAGCAGGCTAACAGAGTGAAGTGTGAATGGTTTTAAAATATGAATTATTTTAAAGTAGTTTATTGCTAGAGCTTGTAAACAACCGCTCTGATTCACTCTGTTTACGTCTCACACACTGAATTATGCAGACATGGAATTCCTTTTTAAAGTATTGGGACTTTCTGAAATGTTAAACCAGTTCTTCACTTCAGAAAATTCATGCATGAAACACTGCACTCTGGCGACATCTGCTAGTCAATAATCAACACACTTAAAACCAAATGATTGACAAGTGCACATATTTTCACTGAAGTGCTACAGTATCCTGAAATAAACAAACCTGAATGTGTCTAGAATGTGAGGCCTTCATAAGCAGCTCTTTATTCCCTGCTAGAAAAACCAGCATAGACCAGACTGATAGCAGGAGGATAGTGGGCCACTGTTGGCCCACTGATGGTAAAGCTGGTGGTCCACTGGCATTCTGCTCAGCGTTTTCCGGGCAGTCCACCGGTGTTTAAGCAGAGCAATAAATAAAATTCCACTCATTATTGCTCATTTTCCACTTACAGTCCAATTTACTTATTTTTCCTTCCTTCTTTTCTTTAACGAGGCTGAAGTTAGTTACTTATTCGCAGCTTCTGATTCGGTTGGCTCCTTATTTCCTTTAATTCATTTCCACCGTATAATTTAATTGCAGCTAGTTTAAAGTATAAGACTGAAGAAAAGATTTAAAGCTAGACATAATTCTGAATTTAATGTGATCAGATCAGGGGGGAGCTAGAGCCTATCCCAGCGGTCATTAGGCAGAAGGCAGAAAAAAATGAATAGGAAGCTGAAATTTGGTTGATATTGAAAGCCTTATTCACATCAGGCCAGAATAATTCCATATGCTAGAAAGACTATACTTCCCACTATAAGGAAAACCTAGTTTTAGCCTGAGCTGTTCTAATACATTAAAATAACTGGCAATATACCACTTTATGCTGCAAGGCACACAAGTAAAAGAAAAGGAAGCTGATATTCCAGGTGGATAATGAAGGCCGTATTCATGTCAGGCCAGAGAAACTACATATCACAGGTAGAGATTCGGTCTCCCACTGTAAGGAAAATGTGTTTTTATTCTGGCCCAAGCTGATTTACTACTAAAATATAATTGCCAAAATGGCACACAGAGAAGTGGTACCTACAGGTAAATGAATAGGAGGCTGAAATTCCAGGTGGTTACTGACGGCCTCATTCACATCGGCCCAGAATTATTACATATGCCACATAGAGACATCGTTTCCCACTGTAAGAAATACCTGGTTTTAGCCTGGACCAAGCTGATGTATACTAAAAAAAAAAAAGGCAACATGGCACAAAAAGCAGTGGTGCCCACAGGTAAATGAATAATAAGCTGAAATTCCATGTGGATCTCTGAGGAGTAATGCACACAAATACATAAATAAGAAGCTGAAATTCCGGGCGAATATTGAAGGCCTTATTGCTGATTTCATACTTAAAAATAACTGGCAACATGGTATACCGAGCAATAAATTTTAATTATAGATTGAAGACATTAATGATGAGGAAAATCAAAACACAAAGATAAAAAAAGTAAAGCAACACCCTTTGGTTTTAATTTCTCACAGTATAGCATATCTGCTATATCTTCTTTTGACAATTTCTCATTTGACTGATTCTTGAAAAAAAAAAAACAGCTGTTCATCTAATGTAATTGTAATAACTTTATGTGCAATTACGCAATATACTATATTACCAGCTGGTTCTAGCTCATCATCAATAATGCCTTCAAAATCTATCTAAAATTTAACGTTGTTATTAATCTAAATAAATGTATTGCTCAGTATACCATGTTGACAGTTATTTTTATGTATGATATCACATTGGACCAGACTAAATCTGAATTTCCCTGAGAGTGGGATGCATGCTCTCTTTTGCAGTTTCTGCATTTTTCTGGGCCGCATTAAAACTAAAAAAGTCTATACAGAATTTCAGCTTCCCGTTTATTTTGCTGTGTGAACCATTGCTCTGGATAACAAGTTGCCAGTTATTTTTAAGTATTAAATCAGTTTAGGCCAGAATAAAACTAGGGTTTCCTTACAGTGGAAGACTGGATCTTCATTTAGCATATGTACTTTCCCTGGCCCAAAGTGAATAATGCCATCAACATCCACCTGGATTTTTAGCATCTTATCCATTTACATTGTGCATTACTGCTCAATGTGCTGCTTCAGGTTATTTTAATGTTTTAAATCAGCTTGTGCCAGGCTAAAACCAGGTTTCATTTACAGTGGGAAACTGGCTTTCTATCTGTGATATGTAATTTCTCTGGCCTGACATGAATAAGGCCCTTAATATTTGCCTGGAATTTCAGCTTCCTATTCATTTAATTGTGTGCATTACTGCTCAATGTGCCATGTTGCCAGTTATGTTAATGTATTAATTCAGCTTGGGCCAGGCAAAAACTAGGTTTTCCTTACAGTGGAAGACTGGATCTCTGCCTGTGATATGTAATTATTCTGGCCCGACGTGAATACAGCCATTATCCATGTGGAATTTCAGCTTCCTTTTCATTTAATTGTGTTCATTACTGCTCAGTGTGCCATGTTGACAGTTATTTTAATGTATTAAATCAGCTTGGGTCGGACTAAAACCATGTTTTTCTTACAGTGGGAGACTGAATCTCTATGTAGCATATGGAATTATTCTGGCCCGATGTGAATACGGCCTTTAATATCCTCCTGGAATTTCAGCTTCCTATTTATTTTCCTGTGGACACCAATGCTCTATGTGCTATGTTGCCAATTATTTTGGGCCAGACTAAAAACAGGTTTTCCTTACAGTGGGAGACCGAATATCTACCTGTAATATGTAGTTTCTCTGGCCCGACACGAGTACGGCCTTCATTATCCACCTGGAATATCAGCTTCCTATTAATTTAATTATTAATTTAAGTTTGCCATATTACCAGTTGTTTTAAGGTAAAACTATGTTTTCTTTACAGTGGGAGACTGGATCTCTGTTTTTGATGTGTTGATGTAACTGATTTGGCCCAATGTGAATAAGGCCTTTTATTTACCTGTGTGCTCTATAAGCCATGTTGGCAATTATTTTTTTGTTATTGGTTTCACTCCATGCACATAAATCCCTCTGAAATTTCATGTGATGTGGTCTGATGAGTCCAGATCTGCCCTCTTCCAGAGTGATGGCCACATTAGGGTAAGAAGGGACGCACATGAAGCAATGCCCCCATCCAGCACAGTGCCCACTGTACAGCCCTCTGGAGGCAGTGTTATGATCTGGGGTTGCTTCAGTTGGTCAGGTCTAGGATCAGTAATGTTATGTGGTGATAAAATGCAGTCTGCTGACTACCTGAATGTACTGAATGACCATGGCTACTTTAAAACCAGATTTAAAGTTTGATACAAGTGATTAATAAATCTAAGCTTAATCCCTGCTGGCGCAACCCACTTAACCACTAACATTACATATGGCCATTCTACGTCAACACGTTGCCAGTTCACATATATGTCACTTGTCATTTTATCAAACATCTGAGAAATTCTGAAATGTTAAGTCTGCTCTTTTGGCATATTTCACTTTTACAAAAGGCATGTGATTCTACAGGCTGTTCGGATTTTCCGCTTAATTCTACTCACATCAACCTTTTTGAAAAAAGAGGCTCAAAATGGCATATACGCATTACCATAACTGGACAAGCTGTATGTTAGCTGGCACAGAATGATTCATATTGAAACATAAATTATTAGATCACAGTATATTTATCTCGGAAGCAGAAACAGTCTACTTTTAACCTGACAATCACCCCCTGCACACAAAAAACATGTATCTGCTCTGTGGGAAAATTCAGTGCATTTCAATAGAAGGCAGCATACACACAAGCTGTAGATCAGGGGTGCACAACTCCGGTCCTGGAGGGCCAGTGTCCAGCACAGTCTGGTGATTTACCTGCTTAAACACACCTGATTACACTCATCTGCTAATTGCCAGGTTTAGTGGGCGTCTCTGAGTAGGAAAACTAGCTACCAAACTGTACTGGACAAAAGCCCTCAGGACCACAGTTGTACACTCCTGCTGTAGATTCTCAGAGAAATAGCTACTTCTTTAATTAAGTCAGTATTTCTCTGTCTCCATTCTGGCTATATAATTGTGTGCTTTGCCTCAATTAACACAACTGAATCATAACTTAATTAGCGTTATCAATGCCTTTTATGTTCACATGTTAGAGCAGGAAAAACACAAAGCAGTTGGACTGCAGTTGGGAAACGCTGCCCCAATAAAGTCACATCGTTAATAACATATATTCACTTTTCCAGCCCCAGCAAAGGAATATCCTACCTTCATGTGGTTTGTATTAATATTAACTCACCTATCGCCGGCTAATTTTAGCCAGCTGACAGTTTATACCTATGTAGCTGTAACACACAGCCAGCTAACTAACTACGTTTTCAGTTGGTTAACATTAGCTAGTTTACCAAAATGAAAACAAAATTAGTTTCGTTGAAAACACAATAAATCGTCATATTCGACTGTCAGGAGTTATAAATTACCATAATTCATTATATATTTATTGTATATACTGCGTTCTTACCTTAAAATACAAAGCAAAGCGTCCAACGGCTCTGGAGTAAAATAACGGTTTTCCCTCGCGAGTGTTTTGATTTGAAAAGCTGTGACGGGCTCGTGAGCTGCTGTGCAGATTCGCTGATCTTCAACTCATTTTACCGAACTGTTGTCAGCGTGCATGTTTTACAGATCAGGACATCTGCTGCCTCGGCTTCACACGAGGGATTTGAGACATTTTAAAACGTGAATGGCAGAAAATACACAAAGTTACGACTGTTAAAAAATAAAACTAGTAGACCTCGAGAATAAAGTCGTAATATTTCGAGAAAAAAAGTCATATTTTTAGCATAAAATTGTAATATTTTGATTATAAAGTCGTAATATTTCGAGAATAAAGTCGTAGAATTACAACATTAAAGTGGGATATTACCAAGAAAAGTCTCAGTATTGTGGTCGAATGGTTTGCAAAAGGACAGTAGCAGCCTCTTCGTGTTAAAATGAGGGACGTTAAGTTGGTTCTTCCGTATCTATTTCTCCCGTAAAGAAATACTCAGTCTCAGCACATCAGCACCGGACTGTTATTAGTATAGGAAACGACTGAAACTGTGCAAGAAACCGTGTTTATTCAGAATAAAGAACCAGACGGACTCAGAGGAAACTGTCTGTTTTGTTGAAGGAGAACGCCAGGCAGTTATGCAGGACCAGATCTGCCAAAATAAATGACTTAGTAAATTAATATATGACGACTTAGAATTGCAAAGAATAATGATGATAAATCTAAAAATAAATACATATACATAAAAATTAATAGATCAATAAATTAAACCTTATATAAATTATTGTCTGTATTTACTTATAGGTCTATTTAGTAATTTCCCCTCCTTACTAATTTTTGTATTTATTTTTTGTTATGTTTCTTTATTAACATTTTTTTCTTTTTTTATTCATTTATTTCCATAACTACTCATTTCTATATTTATTTATTTCCCCATTTTTTTTTATTTCTGTATTTCCTTGTCCTTATTATATAATAAAGGGGTTGTCAATCAATGATGTCACGGCATCTTAATATTCCTATTGGTTGATCGATATCAGATTCTGTAGATCGATTGTTCATGTCTTGCTCTATCAACGGTAACTGAGGACAAGACAGTACAGTAACGGCTGTTTACAGACAGCAGACAGTGAGAGATCAGAGAGTCTCGGCTGATCTGTCTGAAAATGCAGGTACAGATTATTGACTCTTCTGTTGGAGGTTGTGGGGACAGTTTGCTCCATTTTGCTGATCTGCTGATACAGAGTTTGACCTGTAGGGTCAGAGCTTCGGAGGAGGTGGTTCAGCGTCTTTTTCTGCAAAATTCAGATCACACCCAGACATTCGGACGCCACTCTCACATACGGCCTGAAAGCCAGTGGAAGTTATTTATCGGCAGATCTGTCTGTCCATGACATTGCAGCTCTTTATTGACAGTTTAATCAACTCTTCTCCTCCTGGGCTTGATTACTATGCCTGAACGTGAAAAACACGCCCCCTCATTATCATATGAACGAAGAAATATAGAATTAAATAAATGAGTTAAATAAAAAAAATAAATAAATTATAACATGAATCAATAAATAAAATTAACAATTGTTAAAAATATAGATACAGAAAAAATATATAAAAACAGCATTAATAAAAAAATACAGAAAATTTTTTTGAAAAATATGGAACTGTAGAAAAAGGAAATATGTGTATAATTACAATCAGAATGATCAATCCTGAAAGAATGAGCAGAACTCCGGCGCACTCGCGTCTTTCGTCGTCGTCAGTACAATTAGCCTACTTTATTCTCAAAACATTGCGAGTTTATTCTTGTAACTTTACTACTTTATTCTTTAATGTTCTTTATTCAGCTCTGAATGCCTGTGGACGTCATTGTTCACCGAGTATATTGAACTATGCAGCCTGTTACTGCATAAAACACATGGTTAAAACAGAAGTTAAGACACTTCTGGGTTTTATCTTAAAGTTAGGATGTTTGTGTAATACTGTTTTCCATCAACTTTCTTCCATTAACATTTGTCTTATAAGTTTTTATATGTCACGCTGATAATGGTAAAATAGTGCCAAATTTGAAAAAATACATGTTTTGTGTACTATTTTTTCCATACAATGCCCTGTATGTACCTCTCCGCCCCGCATGCCTTTTGTGTCGTCTGGGTTGCCGTTGCTGCGTCACACAGTCAGCAAAACTCAGAGCTTATGTGAGTAACGTTATTCATCAGAGGAGCTGTGATGGATCACAGTTCCATCTTGCTGGTTAATAGTTCAGACTGGTGGTGAACTGTGCTGTACCAGGAGCAAAAATAAATGGAGTAAGTACAGTAGGGTGTGTTTTTTCAGTTGCTGTTACAAGTACCAAACTCCTGAAGTTGTTTTGATGCTACACACAAATAGCTACCAAAGTCGAACAACCATACTGACGGAGACCAACTTACTCAAGACCAGTGAAGAAATGCACAGCGGATTTCTTCAAATGCTGCTAAAGAAAACCGCTTTTCCCTCTGTTGTATTGTCCACCACAGAAACTGGAACCAAGGTAAGAAACGTTTGTGAGTGAAATAATTTAATCACTGTACACACATCAGTGTTAGCTGTTAGCTTACAGACTGTCTGAAGGAGTCCACGAAATAAAATAACTACCTGCCTCGCTGTGCTGCCTCATAAACTGGTGAGCAGGGTAGGAAGTAGTTTGTTGTTGACACCGTCTGCTTTCATTTGCGCCGGTCAGTTCAGCCTCTTTCTTTCTCTCTCTGTCTCCTTAAAGCCGCTGCAACTCATTTGTGTGTTCTGGTTCAAATTCATATGGCTTCAAATTCTGGAAACACACCTCCTCGAAGTCTTCTGTAAAAATAAACCGTAAACAAAAGCTGCTCCTGGCATAGCCGTTGAACAGCTGTAGCTACAGGCTAGTAACTACGAAAGCACATTAGCTCGCGCGCATTGATCTCAGTTGAGAATATGGTTTTGAGAGGAAACATGGAAGTGATCCTGGAGTTAATACTACTAGTTTATACTAAAAATACATGTTAGTATAAAATAAACATAAAACTTTATAACAAAACTATCACAAAATAATGTCTCAGGTATGAGGCAGTGCATTCATAACCATTTTGTGTAATAACTTAACGGGGTGTAGCTTTTAGTGCCATTAAATGCTTCGGACGTCTGGTTCCTAGTGCTAAAATGGTGAATAATTCTGAATCTGTAAATTTCTCTAGAAAGGCGCATTTCACACCGAACCATTCCGAATGATTTTGTTTACATCTAAACCACTGATGGAGTAATTTAGCAAAATCTGTGGAGTTCCCCTTTAAGCACAATAGAATAGAGACACATCGCAAAGGAGAAAGTTCAAACAGCAACGGTGGAAATGATGTTTACAACACAGTCAAACACAACAAGCAGGGAGGTACCGATACAGCCCACTGAAAACGAGAGAAAGGAGGTTTAAAAAGAGGAAAAAACAGTCAAGTAAAGCATACAGAGCACAAGGGAGCAAAGAGAAGTTAAGAAAGGACAGAGATATGGATGTATACAGTTTTTTAACCTTTCTATATTTTTCACATATTTTACAGTGGCTTAAAATAGTTGGTAAAGTATGTAAGACTGCGGTGAAGAAGGGAGTACAGCCACTCACCTTACAAGTGTGTATATAATATTTAGTATAATAATATTTAAAGTAGATTATATCACTGCAAGTAAAAGGAGGAATGTTATCAATTTTTAATGATTACCAAGCACGATTATCGGAAAAAACAAGTGTACATATGAGTATTTAAAAATAGATGGTCAGCAGTTTGTCACATTGGTCACATTTTTGTCCAAGAAATGAATATCACCAACTCTTAGAGAAGTACAATCGCAGAAAAACCAAAGTCATTTTGAGTCATTTCTTTTGGTCCATTCATCATGAAACGTAAAGAACAGGCATTTTCAAATTATATTAAAAACTGAAAAATGACAGCTGTGATATTTTGCCACACCCTTTTTCTTCAAATAGTAATTTTATACTTGTATATGTTACTCTACTGTCATAACAATCAGCTTTAAAAATGTATTTTTTCCCTGTGTTGTTTTCTAATATTTTATACTAATCCTGTTTGCTTTCCGGTGTCGACCAGAGGAGGATGGGTTCCCCTTTTTTAATTCTTGGTTCCTCTCAAGGTTTCTTCCTCTTGCTCTTAGGGAGTTTTTCCTTGCCACTGTCGCCACTGGCGACGCTCATGGGGGATCGGACCTGGATTTTTCTGTAAAGCTGCTTTGTGACAACACCTGTTGTAAAAAGCGCTTTATAAATAAACTTTAAAATGAACTTAGATTTTCTATTAATGGTAATAACCCTGTTGTTCCACAATAAAGAGCTGTGTGGTGAAAACCTGTGGGTAAATTAATTTTACCATAATATAAAGCTTGTTTGTGGAAGTCAGACAGTTATGGTCACTTTCTGGTGGACCAAATCAAACCCTCTTACCAGCCTCACTTTGGGCAGCTCTGGTCTACATCGTTTATCCCTCTTTATACCATGCAAATTTATTTGTTTATTTTATTGCATGGATTATGATTTTGTATTATTAATAATATTATTGTATTATTGTTTGTCTCTTATTTGCTTATTTATTTTTGGTGTTCATATGCATTTATATTCACTTTAAGGTACTATTTTTACAGATATCCTAAAAAAGATAATGATTAGTTTTTTTGGCTCTAGATGTTTATTATTAACAGTGTTTATATACAACATCAAACGCTTACTTCAGAAAAGTGTAATTTCCGTTTTCATAAGATGATGCTTAATGTGAGGTTAGTATTGTTTGATTTAGGTTTGCAAAAACAGCGAAATTCCTTAGAAAGAAACAAATATTTACCGTAATATCCACCATAAAGCAAATATCCAATAATCTGAAAGCGAAAGTGAATAAAAACTAAACTAAAACTGTTGCTTTTCAGAACATAGAAGCTAAAACTATTAATGCACTCATAAGACCAACTGAAACTGAGCTAAAATTCATCAAAATTAAATGAAAATAAAAAGTGCTGAACATTTCAGAGCTATAATAACTCTGCTTCACCCAGAGTCACACAGTTTAAGTGATCCCAAAACAACCAAGAACCCGGCGTAAAGAGGCTGAGTGAATGTGGTGTGTACGGTGTGTAGGAGGGTCATTGTGTCAGAGACGCTGTAGAAGGACAGAATTCCTGCACTGTGATCCACATACACTCCAATTCTGGAGGGCAGTGGGGCTGAGAGCTTGGTCTCAATGCTGTTGTGATAGAAAGAGAGAGAAGAAGAGCCACACTGCAGACTCCAGGACTGACTGTTGTGTCCAAACTCACACTCATCACCCCGTCCTTTTCTGCTGATTCCTTTATATGAGACTGATATGGACACAGAACCCCCCCCGCTGCTCCTCTCAACCTCCCAGTAACAGCGTCCAGTCAGACTCTCCTTACACAACACCTGATACTTTGAGTCAAATCTCTCTGGATGACTGGAGTATTTATGTAATCCCTCTCTCCACCTCACCACTCTGTTCTTCTCAGACAGGCCGAGGAAATTATTTATTGTGTCGAGATCCAGAGTCAGCTGACGAAAATCTAAAAATTAAAAAAAAAAAAATTGTGTTTATTAACAAAATGTATACATTCTGAAAGACAAACACACCTGGACTAAGATACATTCACACTAGAGCTGAACCAAACATTTAACATCATTGATAATGATGATAAATATTTCTGTGGCCATATGAGCAAATAGAAAAACAACCTGGTATTAAAATGGAGGATAAAACATGTACACAAAGATGGTTCTACAAGGGTTCTTTAGTATAGGCAACAGGCCATGAGTTCTACATAGAACCATTTGCATGCTTAAATGGTTCTTTACATGGTAAAATTGTTCATCAGATGGGTGGAGAATGTGTTGTAAAGGGTTCTATATAGCACCAAAAAGGGTTCTTCATGCTTGTAACACTAGCAGAATCTTTTTTGGTGCTATACAGAACCATATGTAACACATTCTCCATCCATCTGAAGAACAATTTCACCAACCATTTAAACATGTTAAATTGAACTACAACCTTTCCTAAAAACCCTTGAAGAATCATCTTTTTTTAAGTGTGTAGAGCCAATCAGTGCAGAGCTCATTTACATGTTTCAGTCTTAAAGGTGCAATAACAAAAACAGCCTGTCTAATTCAGAGGGACACACAGACTCCGGAAAATGGTCATGAAAATTAATTCAGACTGTTTCTGATATATAAATCCACACACACAAGAAGTCCAACATACGCAAACCTGAATTAGTTTTTCATGGAAACACATCGTTACCTTCGACCACCGGAAAAGAAAAGGTGCTGGTGTCGAAGCAGCAGTAGGGTCAGTCAATTGACAATGCTGAAGTTAGCTGTTTTTCTGGCAAACAAAGTAAAAAAAATGGCAGTGCAGTGTACAATTATTTGCTAACACAAACCGAGCACCTGACTGGTTAGCCTGAAGAGCTAGAACATTAATCTATCATTTATTGATATACAACAATGTGATTGTTTATTATTATATCACGTAGTGCAAAATTACAAGATGGCTGTGAGGTGTCTGGATGGATCAGATGTGAGCAAAGCAGAATGATGGTTAAAACGTTTAATAAAGGGACCAACCAGCGACAGAATCCAGAAACAGGCGAGGGTCATACACAGGCTAATGGGTATGTACAGGACAGGTCAGGCACAAAGTCAAAAAGGCAGACAAAAAGGTCAAAAAACAATCAAGGCAAAAACAGAGTCAAAAGGGTCAGACAGAAGACGTAAACAAGAAACCAAAAGCAAACTCACAAAAAAGGAAAACCAGTGCTAACGAACAGCTCAGTAATGAACAGCAGGCTGAAACATTACTTCACAAAGACCTAGATTAAAAGTCCGGGATTTATACTAACTCTAATGGAACACATGACAAGGGAAACAGGTGAAAGCAGTCAGTAATCAGGAGTAGCTGAACGTGGATAGGTTGGCTGTACATAGGCTGGAGCCATGTGACCTCCCAGAGTTCTCAATAAAGTGAGGAGCAGAGGTTTCAGTGGAGCCAGGGAGAGGTGTGATACAAGCTTGAACAAAGTCCCAAGGTTTTTTTACCCTGGTGGTAATTTAGCTCTTGGTGAACAGAGCTTCAGTTTGTCAAAAATTTAATCATCACAGCTCTGCATTTACAGGCTACATTAAAGCCTATTAATCAACTATTATTAATAGATTCTTTCACATGAATAATTGACTATAAAAACATTATTTTTTGCAGCCTCAGTGTTTTACAGGTTTTCTAATGTCTACCAACATGGCTAAATGCACATTAATAGTTAAACTATCTTTCTATGTGGGTGCATGTGTGTTTTGTACATACACTTCAGAAAATCTTCTCTGGTCTTTGGCGCTGAAGGTGAAATCACTCGACTTGCAGCAGCTGTGGAACCTGAAACAAAAAGGTCAGACAGAATGAGTGAGACAGACCCCCCACTCTCCACCCAGACAGAGAGCAGAAAGCAGAAGATTTACAGTAAAGCAGCGGTGGTGGTATGATAGGGTCCAGCAGGCATGTATGTCAGTGGCTCACCCAGAATAACCTCTCAAATGCGCTGAACACAAAACAGGAGTTTTCACTACTGATGTATGAGGGGAAAATCTGCAGTAGAACATGAAGGGTTTATCTTGGTGGTGTGAACACTGGGTTGGGTTTTGTTCCTTTTTTGCTGTGATTTGTGTTTCAACTTGAATGTATTGTAGTGTCATTTCGTGGTGAATTGCTGTGCAGGGTGCTCTACGTGTGATTTAGGTGATTTGTGTGTTATTAGGTGTATTTTGTAACTGATTTTCTCCCAACCAAATGATTAGCCAACCAAATCGGACCCCGTATTAATGACAGAAGATTCAGCAGAAAGATAGAGGCGACGAAGGTGGAGACTTTTATTTTAAAAGGGGACCCGGGAGAGTGTGAAGCAGCGATTTCTGGGGAGCGACTGCCGACGGCACGGTGCAGTGAGGAAAGCAGGAAGCGGGTGGCTGCAAGAGCTGCGGCGTGGAGAGCACGTGAACGAAGTTGAGAGCTGTCACACGCAACAGAGAGGCCCGGTCACGACGAGAAGGAGCGAGAACGCGGTTGAAAGGGGCATCGCGTCTCGACGAAGGCACCAGCGTGTGGTAACGACAGCAGCGCCAGTGAGCGGGACAAATAGAGGGCCGAGGACCAGGCCCCACACCACAATTTTTGTGTCAAATGTTCATAATGAATAGACTAAAAGAAACAGTCCAAAATTACTTGGAAAAACGTTTAGTTCCATTACCTTACATTAAAAATAAAGTTTTTTTTTCCCCTGTAAAATTACCATTTTGGAGGTTTTGTTCCAACAACAGTGATTATAAATATGCTTGTTCTGTCACTGGATGGGGGATTTGGGGTGACTTTCTGGTGGACCAAATCAAATGTCTTCATTGGCCTCACTTTGGGCAGCTCTGGACCAGATTGTTTACTCCTCTTTATGTGTTTATCTTATTGTTTGAATTATTATTTGTTGTGTTCTTATTGTAGTATTATTTATTTTGTGTGGGTGCATGTGTGTTTTGTACATACTCTGCAGAAATTGTCGCCTGGTTTTTGTCCATGAGCATGCAATTATTCGTCCTGCAGCAGCTGTGGAACCTGAAACAAAACGTTCAGACAGAACATGTGAGATAGACCCCCCACTCTCCACCCAGACAGAGAGAAGAATGCAGAAGATCTACAATTAAACAGTGGTGGTGGTGTTATGATTGGGTCCAACAGGCACGTATGTCAGTGGCCCACCCAGAATAGCCTCTCACATGTGCTCAACACAAATACAGAAGGTTTCGCTACTGGTGTATGAGGGAAAATCTGCAGTAGAACATGACTCCGTCATGACTCCGAACTCCGTCACATCATTGCACCACCACAGTTACTACAGCATAAGCTTTATTTCGGCTACAGCTTCAACAAATCTTGATAAATTCAAAAAGAAATCCTGGGTCATACTGTGTTCCACGTTTTTGGTACTATCCACTTTTTGTTTTAGAAAGTCTGATTTAGGATTGTGGCAGCATCTTCATTTAAATTTAAAAAAAAAATTCTCTTCTTACAGACCATGATAAGGCTAAACCACTAAACATTCAGATGGTGAAGGAGGCGGTCACTGGTGGGAGGTAAAACTGTATCTAAAACTAGTCTTTATTAATTATTCAAATGGCCCATATTTTTCCCAGTCCATACAGTCCGTACATGGAAACTAAACTGCAATTTTGAATTGATTTTTTGTGATGTCATACATCCAACTATTGGGCTTGCAGCACTTTAACTCCGCCCGTTCAAACTTAAATTATATTAAGTGTTTCATTTTGGAATGCTTTTTAAATGAGGCACAATACAGAGCAGCCAATAAGTACAGAGCTTATTTACATATATCAGTCTTAAAGGCACAGTAACAAAATCAGCCTGTTTAATTTCAGGGCATAAACAGAAGTTGGAAAATGTAAAATTCATGTAAAAATGAATTCTCACTGTGTATCAAACCCATACACAAAAAAATACATCACAATAAAAATATTTCACTAAGGCTAGAAATGCAAAAAAAGGTACAACACCTTATTCGCTTTCTCTTACTTTGAGGTAATTTTGAGTATTTCTGTGTGTATTACAAATTTATTATTATTATTTATTGGCTGGATGACCAGGGTCCTTTCTGTGTGTTCTCCTGTGTCTGCGTGGGTTTCCTCCGGGTTTTCTTCCACAAACCAAAGACATGCAGGCTAATTGGACACGCTAAACTGCCCCTTGGTGTGAATGTGAGTGTGAACATACATGTCTGTGTGTCTGCCCTGCGATGGACAGGCCAGTGTTTCCTGGGATAGGCTCCAGCACCTCCCATGACCCAGTGGCTTAGACTGTGTGTGTGTTTTTTTTTCTTTGGTTTGTCAGTAATGAGATGAAGATTTCCATGCTTTTCTCAGCAGGAAGCTCCTCTTACTCTGTGCAGGGATTTCACTGAATTCCTTCTTGAATTGCTCTAGACGCTCTTTCAGATCAGAGAGAGATTTCCTCACTCCATCAAATGACTGCTGTGGATGGACAGAGAAGCTGGACGAGGCCTCAGATCCAGAAGAGACACAGAGAGACTGGAAACTCTACAGAGAGAAAAAAAATAGAATAAGAGTAATCAAACACACTATTTTTCTAATCCTGTCCAGACAGTCCTTCTAATGAGTGAATTCAGCTACTTTGAGTTGCACTTATTACACCTATGAGCCTGAGCTCACCATGTCCAATGGCAAGCATGAGCTAGAGGCGTATAACGCCCCCCAGCATTGGGCTGTGGAGCAGTGGAACTGCGTTCTCTGGGGTGATGGAGCTCCATCCAGTATCTGAGTTGGAATGATCCAGAACTGACCATCCAACCATCAGTACCTGACCTCACTAATGTTCCAATATCTAGATTAAAGCCTTCCCAGAAGAGTAGAGGCTGTAACTGCTGAACAAACTAACTATTAACACCTTCATTTCAGAAGAAACTCTGGATGTCTCCAAACTTTTGGACGTATAATGGCTCTCAGACCAAATCAGATGAGTGACAGTTACCTGGAGGAAATGGATGTGATCCTCAGTTTGTGAAAGCTGCTCCAGCTCAGTGTTTCTCCTCTTTAGATCAGCAATCTCCTGCTCCAGGTTCTCCAGCAGTTCTTCAGTTTGACTCAGCTCAGCCTTCTCCTGAGCTCTGATCAGCTCTGTTACCTCAGAGCGCTTCTTCTCAATGGAGCGGATCAGCTCAGTGAAGATCTTCTCACTGTCCTCCAGTGCTGCCTGTGCAGAGTGCTGTTAGGACAGAGAGAGAGAGAGAGAGAGAGAGAGTCCATTTAAAGATCAGCTATCCTTCACTCTCTTACTGTGACTGTACCTTAATCCAGTCCTCTGGAACCTCAGCCAGCTCACATTTTTGCTTTACCCCAACTCCCAGTTCTGCTGTGCAATCTCAAAAAAGCTCGTTCATGAAAGGTTCTTTAGTGAAAAAAATGGTTCTATATAGAACTCAAAGAACCCATTGCATGATTAAAGGGTTTTCTGCATTGTGAAATGGTTCTTCACATTCACTGAGAATGTGCTGTAGATGGTTCTATATAGAATCGGTTTGAAAAGAGCTATATATAGCACCAGAAAGGGTTCCACTATCGTTACAGGCCAAAAAAACCTTTTTGCTAAGAATGTACTAGGTACTCTCAATCTGTCCCAAAGTCTACACCAGCAGTTTGCGGTTTTGCCTAAGTGCACACTAATGTGTCATATTTCCAAATTTCTAAAGTTTCCAAGCTCTTATTAAGACTGTGGATGTGCGGATATGCATCATATTGTTTGTATCGTATATTTCTTTGAGAAACTGAAAATGAGTCTCCTGAAAAGAATGGAAGCTGTAATAAAAGGTAAAGAGTGACACACTGAACACTCAAACAGCTGTTATTAGACTTAGCTGTTGAGGATTCTGTGTTAAAGTCTCTGTTAAATATGTTTTCTGCTTTGTTCCTGACACTGTAAAATGAATAATCTGTACTTAATGTATTTAACTTTTGAATGGAAATTAAATAAATGAAGTGTCTTTGGCTTTTTCACAGTACTGTAGCTTGATTAGCTTCTTTTCATTCCCTCTTAAGGGTATGAGGTCTCCTCTTGTTAGAGCTTTTTATACCCTTGTAGCCCTGCAACCTTTCAGACGAGACATGAAAATGTCGAGCACTTTTTTCAAAGTCACAGAACACAAGTTTGAAGTCCACAGATCTCCACAGAGTCCACAGATCTGCAGCTCACAGCTCACCTTAATAGTGTTCACAGCCTGTTTCAGCTCCTGCAGCTTCTTCTCCTTCTCCTGGAGTCTCTGCTGAAACCTCCTCTCCAGCACCTTTAGCTCACTCTGAGGAGAAACACATTATACTGCTTATACTTAAGAATATGTTTTACATTAGATTTTGTTTCTGACAGTTAAACAACAGAAGTTATTAGTAAATAACTCCATTTACTCAGTTGCAGTTCTCAGTTCCATTCTCAAGTAACATTTACTGATTTTCAAATATTTCCTAGAATTAAACAAGGAATCTGTTATTTTACTCAGTTCCAGTTTAGTCTTTCACATTTAGTTATTCTTTCTTGTTGTTTTTCTTCCATTCCCATTACAAAAAGTAAGAAGGTAGTGTTAGGAGTCTCGCCCAAGGATTTTTATTGGTACAGTGCAGGATACTCATCCAGTGGGGAGATCAAACACCAGTCTACAGCGTGTAGGGCAAAGGTGCAATCAACTACACAATATCAACTTAACTCAACAGTGAACAGTTTACTAGTTATACATGTCTATGCCACTGATTAGTTTATAAAAGTACACTTTTAAGTAAACTACTAGTTACATAGTTACAAGTGTGTGTGTGTGTGTATATATATATATATATATATATATACACATACATATACACACACACACACACACACACACACATATATATATGTATATATATATATATATATACTTATATATATATATATATATATATATATAAATATATATATATATATTAGAGATGAAACGATATCAAAATTAAAATTCACGATTATCATGACCAAAATTATCACGATTATCGGTATTATCGCGATAATGTTCAAATGTTTTGAAAAGTAAAATAAGTAAAAAAATACATACTGATACACAAACTGAAACTCGTTTCACCAACTTTTATATTAACACAAATAGAACTGGCAGCAATATGCACTTTTTGTTTGCATAAACATTAAAAAATAAGGTCAATACATTTTTAGTATTACTTTTGTATTACTTACAATACTTGTAATACTCTATAAACAAAATAATAGCAAATGTATTATTATTACAGTTATTATTATTATTATTATTATTATTACTGTTATTATTCTTTTTCTTCTTCTTATTATTATTATTATTATTATTAATTACAATAAATAGGGATTTCCCTGCATAGAGAATTAAATTTCGACCAACTCTGAGGTGAGTCTTAATGGAAAATTACTACTTCTAAGAAGTGCTGCACTCGGGGGATTTCTGTCCGAACTGCATTTGCAGCATTATTGTGCCGTTGTGGCGCTGAACCCCTAATCAACACAGTGCACCAGGAAAAACAGCCAAAATCACAGAGGAATTGCGTGACCGCGCTGTGAGCTGCAGACAGTGTAGAACTCACAGTGTGTCTTCACCTGTGGAGCTGCTTCTCTAAAAGCATTTTAAAACTAAAACATAACTTAAAATCAACGCGCATCTGAGCTGCGGCAGAAACACTCCTGAAGTTTAATCTCTGAAACTCTGCTTTTCCTAAAATCAGCACACAGCGTTTACTCGCGCGGGGTCCCGTCCCAAAGCACACTATCTTCCCTATGTAGTGCACTTCGTGGATCATGAAATAGCAAATCCTTCACCCAAAGAGTGCGTGAAACGTTCGACTAAGTCATCTATAATCAACATTAACAACAGGTTACAAATTCCCTATTTAAAGCTCAGCTGCTTGTTAATAATGATCGTGTTTGTTTGAACAGTAGCGCTCTATGTAGGGGACACAGTGATTTGAGACGGTTTTATTCTCTTCTCAGAAAATAAACACTGCAAGCGAGACGAGAAAGGGGAGCTGCGCAGATTGAACCTCTGCAGCGTCTCGTTCAGGAGCTCGTGTGACTGTTAACTCAGAGCTCATTTTGGAGACACTGCTCCACAGAAATGTGTTAAAAGCTTTAGTTTCGATTCACAGTTGATTCACCGATTGTTTTTCTTTTTTTTTGACGCTAAAAGCTTCATTTTATATGATTAACGAACCATAAGCGCAAGTTAAACCACACAAACTGTGACATTTCTTCTATTTCCAAGTCCCCACAGACTTCTAGGTTAAAGTTAACCTTGCATTCTCTAAAAAGAAGCGGGTGGGGGTCGCGAAATGACTCCTAAAGTTTGATGTGTTGCCCCCTTTCACCGCTATTTTCTTTCGGCCTGTTCTGCAGACAGGGTGGTCATCTTCAATTAACTTTCCTTCTGCATCCTTATAAAACCCAAAATATGACCAAACGTCAGACTTGGTCTTCTTAGAAGGCTGAAATATCTCAGAATCTCCGAGTTTTCTCACCGCGGTAATCGACCGCGGTTTTAACGATACTTTAAAGTTCAAACGGTACTACTAACCGTCATTAATTTTACTGCGGTTTACCGTGAAACCGGTAACCGTTTCATCTCTACTGGACACCCCTGTTCTATAGCAAACCTGTAATTGGCATAGAAACTTTACATTATGTAGAATTCATATGTAGTATTGAAGTTTAAAGGTTCTTCAGAGAACTTAATGTGGTTCTTCTATGGTGTTACATCACTCTGGTGCTACCATTTATTTTAAAAAGCCTGTACTGTGAAGCCTGTAAGATGGGTGTTGGCTGGTCAAAAAATCATTGGCTAGTTTGATTCGTTCAGTGCTGACTGATAAAACAAAACAAACCCTGAAACTGCAACTTTTAAGGCCACCATGCAGCACAAAGCACATCTATAACATAGATTAAAACTTTAAACATAAAGAATTTATCACATTTGGTATCAGCTAACCAGCTCCCCAACTTGATGAAGTTGAAAAAAGGCAAGGCTAGCAACGTTAGCTGCTAGTATTAACAGACCTCACGGCTAGAAAAACCAGGACAGACCAGCATGGCTGGTCACCAGCAAAGCCAGCATATGTTGTGTTTGGCATGCTGGTACGCTGGTTGGCCAGCTAAACCAGCCCCTGATCAGCCCTAGACCAGCATGGAAGGTCTGTGCTGTTTTTTTTTTTTCAGGGCTGTACAGTGAAACAGTTTTAACTGCATTTGTGATGAAAATATATTCTGTGCAAAGATATCCATTCACTTGCAAGTGTGATTGTTTGCATTGTTTTTCCTAATCAGTGAGAGAAACATACTAACCGGAGAGTGCAATAAGAGACAACTCACAATCTAACTTATTGTATATTACGTTACTGTCATATCACAAACACAGCTAGCTTGCTTGGTGCCAAAGGAGTTATGTCAAGAATATGGACACATTGTCAAGGAAGCTTAGCACGGTTGTTTCTCCAGATAAGCTACCAATGATTAAACAGAGTAAGAAAAAATGTAAACGTATTTCTTGGTTTAATGTTACCTTGACCATCCAGCATCTTGGCATGTCGTCCACCAAGGAGAAAAGACCCAGTTTCGAGGACAATAAATCACTCTCAGTATCTAAAATGTCACCAGTTACAGCTAGTGTTAGCTCAAATGCTAGCACAGCTGACCGCTTTCTCAGCCGACACAAACATTTACAACCCACCAGCACTAGTACTTATAAAAGTAAGTGTACAGCCCTGACTATGGCTCTGGTTTTATTTAGTGCGGTAACTGTAAAATGCTGAGTACTGTGCTGTGGTGCTCGGATTTCTGCAGTTATCTGGCTATTCAAATTGTCATGTAAACAGCACACTCCGATTTCTTAGATCAGAGTAAGGTCTAGAAATCTGATTAAGAAATCAGATAGACAGAGCTGGATCTTATCTTAGTAATCAGATTTCTCAGTGCATGTAAACTCTTACTCTGATTTCTTTCGGATTTCTCAGTCTAAGCATGTGCGAAAACAGACTCTGGTACCAAAAAAAGCGAGCTGCAGCAAAACACTTTTGGAGCAACGCTAAAACCAATTACATTCTTGACGAAATTAAGGATTTAAATTTGTTACTTCTAGATGTGTATGTTACCTCTCACCTGTTTCTGGGCTCTTTCTGCTACAGCTGGAACTGTATCGTGACCTTTGTGTTCATGCATCGTACACAAGTAGCAAATACAGCTCTGGTCAGTGCGGCAGTAGATCTCGATCAGTTTGTCGTGTTGAGAGCAGATCTTCTGTTGTAGCTGATTGGACACTTTGACCAACTTGTGCTTTTTCAAACCAGGAACTTCAAGGTGAGGCTTAAGATGATCTTCACAAAAGGAGGCCAAACACATCAGACAGGATTTGACAGCTTTCAGTTTTCTCCCAGTGCAGAAATCACACTCCACATCTCCAGGTCCAGCAGGAGGAGCAGCTTGATGTTCTATCTTCAGTTTCTCCAACATTTCAGCTATAAAGTAGTTTCTGCGTAGAACAGGCCTCGGAGTGAAGGTCTCTCTGCACTGGGGGCAGCTGTAGACCCCCCTCTGATCCTCCTGATCCCAGCAGCCATTAATGCACAGCATACAGAAACTGTGTCCACAGGGAACGGTCACTGGATCATTTGGCAGATGCAGACAGACTGGACAGATAAACCGATACTGATCTTCCGAAATACCAGTTTCTGCCATTTTCCTGAATGGTCAGACTGAGAGAAAGAGAGAGAGAGAGAGAGAGAGAGAGAGGGAGAGAGCAGCACTCTGAAATCAGTTTCATTCCCTCTGAACTGAGAGACTTCCTGGTTCAGTGTTCCTTAAACTATGAAAGGAGGAGAAAGAGGAGGAGAAGGAGGAGAAATGGCAAGCAGTTTTACTTTTCAATTCACAATTTCTTGATATCAGGATATAGTATTAGTGAAAACATGAAATCTGAAACAGAAAAAAATCCTAGTGTGGATTAGATTTTAGCACATGATAATATGGTATGGTAACTCAAGTTTTACCATTAAAATTCAATTCTGACATGTTGAAATTCTGACTATTACATGTTTAAATTGATTTTAGATTGCTAGAAAAAAATGAATTGTGTGCAAATTGAATTATTTCATGTAAATATAGAAAGTCTTTTATGTACCAGTTCAGTTTTCAGTGGTAATAAATCTTGGTGGAATTGTTGCAGACAAAACAGAATACAAATAGAAAACAAATAATACAAATAAATCAGTGGCTCTTTGTTAGACATATTATGCCCTGTTTGGGGACACAAGACATATTTTAACACCTACGTAAAGCACTAACCTGCTAGCAGAATCAGCATGGACTCGTATAGCCGGACTCCACCAAAACAGACATGTGTTTTGGAAGCTGATATGCTGGTCAACGAGAAAAACCAGATTAGATAAGCATGGAATTCAAAGTGCGTCACATCTAAGTTACACAAATGCAGTGCAGAGAGAGACAGCAAGGAGCTGATATTTTAATTGTAATCATACCCACCTTCAGCTATGTTAGCCTAATGGAGCAAAAGCTAACCATGCACACTCTGTTATGCCTTTTTTTGTAGAAGTTTGAACATTGTGTACATCAATTCTGTGAATTATTGCTTTATCTGGCTAAAAACAGTGATGAGTTTTGCTAGCCTTTAGCATGTTAACCAGCAGGCTAGCAGAATGAAGTGTGAATGGTTTTCAAGTATGAAAGTAGTTTATTGCTAGAGCTTGTAAACAATTTTGTTTGGGTTTGAAAACGGAACTGTTTCTGGTTGAAATGATTTCTGGGGAAAACGTCTGTATAATTAAGTGGTTAAGATGTAAACAGAGCCGTTCAGAGTGGTTTGGTATGAAACGCTCTGTTCTAGAGAAAGTGACTGAGTCAGAATTGTTCACAGTGGTGGTGATAGGAACCAGACGTCCACCTCTAAAAGCTCCCTCACAGCAAGTTGTTACATGAAATGGATATTAGGGCGCTTCCTGATGTCTGAGACACTGTTTAATGATAGTTTTGAAGTAAAGCTTTGGCTTAAAATATTTTTCTAAAACTACAGGCATGGTGGAGGGATACATGCAGGGAGTTACAAGGCAAAATAGACAAAATAATCACCAAAGAAAACATATTATTTCAGATTTTCCACTACTTTACCATCATCATTCCATATAGACTTAGAAGACACGTGTAGATTCACTGGTGGTTTTGGATAGTAAAATAAATGTCTTTGTATTGTATTTGTATTGTAGTCATGGTGACCCCTTGTTCCTATCACCACCACTGTAAAGAACTGATCTGAGAAGATCTGAAACATTTCACACCAAACCACTCTGAATCACATATTTTCACTGAAGCGCTACAGTATCCTGAAATAAACAAACCTGAATGTGTCTAGAATGTGAGGCCTTCATAAGCAGCTCTTTATTCCCTGCTAGAAAAACCAGCATAGACCAGACTGATAGCAGGAGGATAGTGGGCCACTGTTGGGCCACTGAGGGCAAAGCTGGCGGTCCACTGGCATTTTGCTCAGCTTTTTCTGGGCGGTCCACCGGTGTTTAACCAAAGTAATAGAGAAAATACCACTTATCCTCGCTCACTTTCCACTCACAGTCCAATTTACTTATTTTTCCTTCCTTCTTTTCTTTAACGAGGCTGAAGTTAGTTACTTATTCGCAGCTTCTGATTCGGTTGGCTCCTTATTTCCTTTAATCCATTTCCACCGTATAATTTAATTGCAGGTAGAGAGACTAAAGAAAAAAAAACAGGCTGAGTTTTTTAAGTTAGATTTAAAGCTAGACATAAATCTAATTTATTGTGATTAGATTTATTCATTTTTTTTTTTTCAATTTCAGATGTACCTGTCAATATGGCATAAGGAGTTATCGTGCATAAAAGTAAATGGATAAGAATCTGACATTTTTGAGGGATTTATTTTAGAGGGATAAAACATGTATATGCTGTTTGGGAAAATTCAGTGCATTTCAATAGAAGGCAGCATACACACAAGCTGTAGATCAGGGGTGCACAACTCCGGTCCTAGAGGGCCAGTGTCCAGCACAGTCTGGTGATTTACCTGCTTAAACACACCTGATTACACTCATCCGTTAATTTCCAGGTTTAGTGGGCGTCTCTGAGGAGGAAAACTACCAAACTGTACTGGACAAAAGTCCTCAGGACCAGAGTTGTACACTCCTGCTGTAGATTCTCAAAGAAGTACTTCTTTAATGAATTCATTATTTCTCTGTCTCCGCTCTAGCTATATAATTGTGTGCTTTCCCTCAATTAACACAACGGAATCTTAACTAGAAAGAGAAAGCTCGTGAACATACTTTAAGTTGGCTTGAAAAAGCCAGTTAATTGTGTTAAAACATTAAAATGGTGGAAGTTGTTAAAATTTCGATAAAATGTTGCTTCCGTAAATTAAGGTTCACCTTAAATTCTGTGCCACCTTAATTTTAGTGCTACCTTAAAGAGAGTTCCACCTTAAATTCTATGCCACCTTAATTTTAGGGCTATGTTAATTGCAGTTCCACTTTAAATTCTGCCACCTTGAATGAAATTCCACCTTAAATTCTGTTCCACCTTAATTTTAGTGCTACTTTAACAGAATTCCTCCTTAAATTCTGGGCCACCTTAAATTTAGTGCTATGTTAATTGAAGTTCCACCTTAAATTCTATGCCACCTTCATTTTAGTGCTACCTTAAAGAGAGTTCCACCTTAAATTCTGTGCCACCTTAAATTTAGTACTGTTAATTGCAGTTCCACCTTAAATTCAGCACCACCTTAAATGAGGTTCCACCTTAATTTTTGTGCTACCTTCAAGAGAGTTCCACCTTAAATTCTGTGCCATGTTAATAAAGGTCCACCTTAAATTCTATGCCACCTTAATTTTAGTGCTACCTTAAGAAGAGTTCCACCTTAAATTCTGTGCCACCTTAAAAGAAGTGCCACCTTAAATTCTGTGCCACTTTAATTTTAGTACTACCTTATAGTGTTCCACCTTAAATTTAGTGATATGTTAATTGCAGTGCCACCTTAAAAGAAGTTCCACCTTAAAATCTGTGCCACCTTAATTTTATTACTATGTTAATTAAAGTCCCCCCTTAAATTCAGTGCTATGTTAATTAAAGTTCCACCTTAAATTCTGTGCCATCTTATATTTAGTGCTTTGTTAATTGAAGTTCCACCTTAAATTCTGTGCCACCTTATATTTAGTGCTATGTTAATTGATGTTCCACCATAAATTCTGTGATTACTTAAATGTAGGGCTATGTTAATTGAAGTTCCACCTTAAATGTAATGCTATGTTAATTGAAGTTCCAACTTAAGTTCTTTGATGCCTTAAATTAGTGCTATGTTAATTGCAGTTCCACCTTAAATTTAGTGCTGTGTTAATTGAATTTCCACCTAAAAATTTAATGTTATGCTAATTAAAGTCCCCCCTTAAATTCAGTGCTACCTTAAATTTAGTGCTATGTTAATTGAAGTTCCACCTTAAATTTGTACCACCTTAATTTTAGTGCTACCTTAAGGAGAGTTCCACCTTAAATTCAGTGCTACCTTAAATTTAGTGCTATGTTAATTGCAGTTCAACCTTAAATTTAGTGCTGTGTTAATTGCAGTTCAACCTTAAATTTAGTGCTGTGTTAATTGAATTTCCACCTAAAGATTTAATGTTATGCTAATTAAAGTCCCCCCTTAAATTCAGTGCTACCTTAAATTTAGTGCTATGTTAATTGAAGTTCCACCTTAAATTTGTACCACCTTAATTTTAGTGCTACCTCAAGGAGAGTTCCACCTTAAATTCTATGCCACCTTAATTTTAGCGCTATGTTGTTTAAAGTTCCACCTTAAATTCTGTGCCACCTTAATTTTAGTGCTCCCTTTATTGACAATTCCACTTAAGTTCTGTGCCACCTTAAATTTAGTGCTATGTTAATTGAAACTCCACCTTAAATTCTGTGCCACCTTCAATTTAGTGGTGTTAATTGAAGTTCCACCTTAAATTTCATGTTATGCTAATTAAAACTCCACCTTAAATTCTGTGCCACCTTAAATTTAGTGCTGTGTTAATTGAAACTCCACCTTAAATTCTGTGCCACCTTAATTTTACTGCTGTATTAATTGCAGATCCACCTTTAATTTAGTGCTGTGTTAATTGCATTTCCACCTTAAATTTAAAGCTATTTTAATTGAAGTTCCACCTTAAATTCTGTGCCAACTTAAATTTAGTGCTATGTCCATTGAAGTTCCACCTTAAATTTAATGTTATGCTAATTGAAGTTCCACCCTAAATTCAGTGCTACCTAAGTGCAATTCCACCTTAAAAGCAGTTCCACCTTGAAAAATTCTTGATTGGTGCTGATACTGCTGCGCATTAGGCTGTGAGCATGTAAGTCTTTGTGTACTGTGTGTGAGTGTATGTGTGTGTGAGATACATCACTTGTGGCAGTTAATTAGAATGTCGCGAACATTCTGCCCATTCATTCCCTATGGGAAAAACATCGTCTTTGAACGATAATTTTACAAAAACGTGCGTCAGATTCCTTAGAAAAGCACAAGCCTAACCTAATCGGGTATAGGTACTAGGATCCTACAAAGTTTCGTGGCTCTAGCTCGAAAAATGTGCGACAAGAAACATATTATATTTTGAGCGTAGAATAATAATAAGAAGATGATTACGAAGAACAGTAAGTTGGCTTTTTCAAGCCAACTTAATTATCAATGCCTTTTATGTTCACATGTTAGAGCAGGAAAAACACAAAGCAGTTGGACTGCAGTTGGGAAACGCTGCCCCAATAAAGTCACATCGTAAATAACATGTATTCACTTTTCCAGCCCCAGCAAAGGAATATCCTACCTTTATGTGGTTTGTTGTGCTCGCCGTGATACACTGAGAAAGAAACGGAGTTCAGCTACGTTAACTACCTAACAAACATAACATCAGTACTGACTGTACAAAAACTCAAAGGCGAAACTGGTAGTTAATTGTGGGCTTAGTCAGCCAGCTAACTTTAAAATAAGTTAATATTAACTCACCTATCGCCGGCTAATTTTAGCCAGCTGACAGTTTATACCTATGTAGCTGTAACATACAGCCAGCTAGCTAGGTTAACACTAACTAACTACGTTTTCAGTTGGTTAACATTAGCTAAAAAAAAACAATGAAAACAAAATGAGTTTCTTTGATAAAAATATATATAATTTATAAACGTTATTTTCAACTGCCAGGAGTTATAAATTACTATAATTCATTATATATTTATTGTATATACTGCGTTCTTACCTGAAAACACAAAGCAAAGCGTCCAACGGCTCTGGAGTAAAATAACGGTTTTCCCTCGCGAGTG